TAGGTGGTGATGTAGATGCTGGGGGGTGATGTAGATGCTGGGGGTGGTGATGTAGATGCTGGGTGGCGATGTAGATGCTAGGTGGTGATGTAGATGCTGGGTGGTGATGTAGATGCTGGGGGTGGTGATGTAGATGCTGGGGGTGGTGATGTAGATGCTGGGGGTGGTGATGTAGATGCTGGGGGTGGTGATGTAGATGCTGGGGGTGGTGATGTAGATGCTGGGGGTGGTGATGTAGATGCTGGGGGTGGTGATGTAGATGCTGGGGGTGGTGATGTAGATGCTGGGGGTGGTGATGTAGATGCTGGGTGGTGATGTAGATGCTGGGGGTGGTGATGTAGATGCTCCATCTGTGGCTGAGCACTCCACAGTCTCTTGTTCTCTACACTTCAGCCAGTCAGGGTGTCCTCATTAACCTCCATCTACTACATATGGAAACCTCTCTGATGACGCCTTTTTTTTATGCTGAGTGTTTTGCCTGCATGTATGTCTGTGTACCCTGTGCATGTCTGGTGCCCACGGAAGGTGTTGGATCCCTTGAGCCTTGAGTTATGGACAGTTGTGAGCTGCCATGTGGTTGCTGGGAATCAAACCCTGAACCTCTGGAAGAGCAGCCAGTGCTCTTAACCACCGAGTATTACGAGATCATCTGTAGTCTGTAAGGTTAAGATATCTTTATTTAAATAAACACCAGCCAAAGCATGCCAGGGGCAGCAAGGCAGGCAGGCCAGAGAGAAGGGGCTTCCGTGTGCCTTGCAGCCCCTTAAAAACCTATTATGCATCATCCTGACCTCACCTTGACCACACCCTGACAGGCATGGTCAGGCACACCTGTAGCCAGCTTCTAGCAGGGGTGGCTTACTGTCCCCTACAACCGATCTGTGAGGCTCCCTTAGTAAACCTTTAAAAGACAAATTCTTAACTAATCCCTAGAGAGACTTCAACCAGACTCCAGGTGGAGGCTCCATTCACTCTTCTCGTGTCCCCTTAACATGCTCTGCCTTTATCCCATCTTACCACCGAGATGTTAATCCAGGAAAGCCAGAAAAGAGAGTTTGCATTTACTCAATAACAAGCCAGGAGAAAACACGGAAGACAGACTCTAGCTCACAAACTCTCTGAAATGGGCAATCCTCACTCTCAGCCTGACTGGGTTAGGGTATATCTGTACCAGTGTTGCCAGAGAGCATGAAGACAGCAGACAAGATCCACCTATAATGTGGGGCGACACTGTCCCTTGGGTGTGGGGCTTCTCCTCTGGAGAAAGCCAGAAAGTTCTGACCTTCTCCCATCTAATTCCTTATCCTCCACAATGAGACTACTGGACTGGGTCTGCCACGCCCACACTGCAATGATGAGTCCAAATAAATGTCTTCCTCCCTTAATTTGTTTATGGCAGCCACTCTGTCACAGTGACAGGAATAACTAAGACTCACAGTGGGCCCTACGACTTCATCTGGAGCCATTAGCTACTCCTGACCACTAATTGCTGTCATCAGAGCTAGGAGCCTCAGTAGAGAAATGCCTCCATGAGATCCAGCTGTAAGGCATTTTCTTATTTAGTGATCAATGTGGGAGGGCCCAGCCCAAGGTGGATGCTGCCATCCCTGGGGTGCTGGTCTTGAGTTCTATAAGAAGGTGGGCTGAGCAAGCCATGGGGAGCAAGCCAGTAAGCAGCACCCCTCCACAGCCTCTGTATCAGCTCCTAACTCTGGAATCCTGCCCTGTTTGAATTCCTGTCCTGACTTCCTTCATTGATGAACAGCAATGCTGAAGTGTAAACCCAGTAAACCCTTTCCTCCCTAACTTGCCTTTTGGTCATGGTGTCTCATCATAGCAATAGAACACTAAGACACTGCCTAAGAAAATTTGATTGAAAGAACACAAAGGCTCTCTTACAAAGGGAGTCTGTGCTGTTCTGACCCCTGCCACTGGTCCTCTAACAGCCATTCCCTGACTGGCTCTGTAGGCGGTCTAAGCTACCAACACCCCCAAGCTCTGAGTCACTTGGCTGCTTCGGGTGATGGCTATCTTAATGGAAACTGCAGGAGGGGAAAGAAAGCAGTAGTGAGTGGTCTGGGGACTTAGCTTAGTGATAGAGTACTTGCCTATGATGCAGGAAACCCTAAGTTCAACCCCAGCCTCTGATGAGACATGCCAGTAAGCAAGCAATAACGGTAGCCAGATAAAACTTTATAACTGATCTTTTCCCAAATGATTTCAAGTTAATCATGCACTGTTTTGCCTTCTCATTTCTCTAGGAGATGCCCATCTGTCAACCATATGTCACCAGCCTGCTCCTCCTGCTCTTGTGCGTACTATAGTCCAAAGACACGTGTGAAGTACTACCCTCTCCTGTCAGTGGGTCCTGCAAGGGTTTTACAGTCTCTCAGAGTGTGCCAGGCACAGCTTTCTAGAAAGGAAAGCACAGGGAAGAATTGGGATGGGGGTAACCTGAAGAAGGTTCTAGCAACTGGTCCTTGTGCTTTTATGCACATATGGTGACTCCCTCCCTGCTGCTGTGTTGCTTGCCCTTTGATTCATTCAAAAACTTGTGACACCTTTTAGAAACATATGCAATACAATAAAATCTGAAAATCAAAGAGGGAGAAGAGGAGTCAGAGGAAAGGTAGGCAGCAGCTATCAATGCAGCCACCAGAATCTCAGCCTTCTCCCCTTGGTGGTCTGCATGGTGACCTTTTAGGGCCTACAAATTGCTTTGTCTCTTTGATCCCATGTTAACTGGAGAAGTGTTTCTAGAACATAAAAGAATCAAAGGCAAATTCCCTTCTTGGCATTTGCCAAGCTGACATCTCTTGAAATGCTGCCAGGAGAAGAGACAATGAAGCCTGAACTGCTGCATTGGGCCCCTCAGCTCTCCAGTTTCTTTGCCCCTCCCTTCCCTGTCTGACCTCAGCACTGGAGCCAGAGGGATCCTGATTGCTGGTATTGGACATGCCCTCATCCCCTCTGCTCAATCCACCCCATCCCCCACCACCTTGCTTTTCTGGCCTCTTGCTTCCTCCTCATACACACCCAGCAGGCTTTGGCCCCCTCAGATGTCTGTCAGACATGCTGGCAGATCCCACTTTTCCCCTGTCCCCACTCTCACCTCTGACTTCCGGTCTGAAGCTCAGCCCTCCTCCCCTATCTGCTTCCCTAGTTGTTCCTTTACAGCACACGCTCAGTACCTGATACAGTTTGTCAGTCTCCACTCCCAGGGAGGCCCTAAGAAGCCAGGCATTAGGCTCATTTTGTTCTGTACCCCCAGTCCTCTAGAACACAGTCTAGTGCATAGTAAGTGTTTAATAAGTTATTGAATGATGGGCGGTAAATCCATTGTCCTTAATGTACAGTGTGGATGCTCCATGCCCTCTGGGAGGCCCAGAGTGAAAACAGAATACTGCCCCAATGATGCTGCACTTAGTAAAACAAGATTCAGCCTCTTCCTTTACATGTTTTTATTTTTCAGTCTAAGACACTGTGCTTCCCCATCCACCCATTTTCCTCGGTACTTCCAAAAGCCACACCACAGATGATAATCACATCTCCAACCAGAAGCTCAAAGGTGACATCAGCCACACCTGCACTCAGTAGCTCATCACAGGTGACATCAGCCACACCTGCACTCAGTAGCTCATCACAGGTGACATCAGCCACACCTGCACTCAGTAGCTCATCACAGGTGACATCAGCCACACCTGCACTCAGTAGCTCATCACAGGTGACATCAGCCACACCTGCACTCAGTAGCTCATCACAGGTGACATCAGCCACACCTGCACTCAGTAGCTCATCACAGGTGACATCAGCCACACCTGCACTCAGTAGCTCATCCCAGGTGACATCAGCCACACCTGTACCAAACAGCCCACCATGGCTTGTCATGACAGAGGTCACCAGGCCTGAATCCACTATTACTGCTGGAAGATCTTCGGCAGACATCACTTCAAGCCCAAATGAAGACTCTCACCCAGAAGTCATCTCCGCCCATCCACAAATGTCATTTCAGAGTACAGCCAATCAGGTAAGTCTGGAAACAGAAGATAGCTGGGTAGCTTCATGACACTGAAAAGCACTTACAGCCCTGGGTATACAGCTCAGTGTTAAAACACTGGCCTAGCATGTGCATGACCCCAGATTCAATCATTAGTGTTTAAAAAAAAATAGTCATGAAAAGAGCACATATATATGTTCTTCTGTCATGACATCTCCAGACTCGTGATTTTTAAAAGCATTTTAATGGTTACCTTGTTACCTCCCAGGAGAATTGTACATGTCTAACCAGTGGGTTATGTGCCCATTGCAGCACTTATTGGCTCATTCTTATTTAGGACTCATATATTCACCACTGGGGGCGAAGAACCTATGCTAGCCACTCCACTGTATCAGAGATGCTAGAGAAAAGGAAAAGTCATTGAGACAGGTGACTAATAAGAATCCCGTTCTCCAGTCCTACTTTTCAAAATGCAAACCCAATGGGGGTCGGGGAAGGGCAAAAGAGGAGGATGGATGGGGGATGGGAAGAGGTACATTAAAGCACAGATAGTAAATACTCAAGACTCAAAAAATTCAAACTGAGTTTATGTGCAGCCTGCCACTCTCCCATCAAAACATTCCATTTGCCCTGATGAAATTCACATGTTCACTGGTCCCAGCAAGGACCAGCCTGCAATAGCTTAAACCAAGAATGGGATTGGTTCCTTTCCTTAAACAAAGAGAAACATATAACAAATATCTGGTAGTGTTTACAGATAAATTACTAGAACTGTTAAGAGAATTTAGAAACGTTCCCCAAGTCCAGATATGTGTTAGAGCTAAGTGTGTAACACAGTCAAGTGGGGTAACAGACACCTGTAATTCCAGTACTTAGGAGGCTGAGGCTGGAGGATTTCAGGTTTAAGGCCAGCCTGGCCTACAGAAATGCTAAGACGTGTCATGATGTGCCCAACTGGTTTCTTTGGGTTTTGTTTTTTAGGGTTTTTGTTATTGTTATTTTTATTTGGTTTGGTTTGGTTTGGTTTTTCGAGACAGGGTTTCATCTCTGACTGTCCTGGAACTCACTCTGTAGACCAGGTTGGCCTTGAACACACAGGCCTGCTCTGCCTCTCGAGTGCTGGGATTAAAGGCATGTGCCACCACCACCCAGCTACATTTATTATTTTTTTAATTTAAGTGTATTGGTATTCTGCCATAGGTGTCAGATCCCCTGGAACTGGAGTTAGACAGTTGTGAGCTGCCATGTGGGTGCTAGGAATTGAACCCTGTCCTCCTGAAGAGCAGTCTTTGCTCTTAACCACTGAGCCATCTCTCCAGCCCCCCATCCTGGTTTTAAGACAGCATCCAGAAAGCCTAACCTCCACTGGGTCATGGGGTGTCAGCTACAGCCCACCTGTATCTTCACCCTTTCCTCTCTGTACCTCAGTTGTCAAAGCCACATTGCAGTGATTCTCAATCCAGGGCCCTTTTATAGGTGACCTCTCCCACAAAGTCAGGTGGCCCATGAGGATGGTGTGCTTTGACACTAGAGTTATCTATAAGGAGAGAACCTCAATTGAGAAAATGCCTCCATAAGATCCAGCTATAAGGCATTTTCTGAATTACTTATTGATGGGAGAGGTCCAAGTCCATTGTGGGTGAAGCCACCTCTGGGCTGGTGGGCCTAGGTTCTATAAGAAAGCAGGCTGAGCAAGCCAGTAAAGCAACACTCCTCTATGGCATCTGCATCTGCTCCTGCCTCCTGGATCCTGCCCTGTTTGAGTTCCTGTCCTGGCTTACTCCAGTGATGGACTGTGATGTGGAAGTGTAAGCCAGTCCTTTTGTTTGCTTTTAGCCACAGTGTTTCCTCACAGCAATAGAATCCCTCACTAAGACAAACAGGATCATGACCCACCAACTACACTCTTCCCACCTAACGTAGCATCTACAGAATGCAGTAGAGTCTTGGTATATGTCTCTTGAAGATGTGTGTGATAAGTAGGTTGTACTCCAGAACTCAAACAAGTAATTGGGTTTACATGGAAATCGGGAATGGTTAGACTTCAAGTATAGAACCTCGGAAGCTTGGGCTTTCTCTGTTTACTCGGTTTGTCTGGGGAAACGTTGGGAACCTCACCTCCTGCTACAACAGTACTTTGAGAGTTTTCCCTTTTGAACAGGAACTCTTTTCCCCAGTTTTAAGGCTTCAACACGGGACCTTGTACTTGCTAGATAAGTACTCTGTGAACTAATTACTGTAATCTTGCCAGCAACCTCTTCTGCCTTTGGAGAATTCATTCTGTAAGATTCTTACTCATCTTCTCTCATGTATGAAGGAGGTGAAAACCAATTCCACTTACTTGCTTCTCAAAGTAATGGCCCTTTCGGAGCCTGAGGTTCATAAAACTTAGAATGTCACCCTTGGTCAGTGGCCATTGACATAGTATACTGAACTCCAAATGCATGACAATTCTGTATTAAATAACTTTGACAAAATATTATCTTTTAGTTTTGTATTACATGTATTTATTTGTGAGTATGGGAGTGGGGGTGCACACTTGCTGTCCTACTCACATGAAGGTCAGAGGACAACTTGTAGGGATCAGTTCTGTCCTTCCACCATGTGGGTTCCAGGAATCAAACTGGGGTCCTTCAGTCTTAGCAGTGAGTGCCTTTACCTACTGAGCCAAGTCTCCAGCCTGACAAAATCTTTTCTTCCCAACAGGTCACAGATCAGACAGCAGGGAAGTTGATCCCAGAAATACCTGCTGTTCAAGCTCATAGTGAATTCCAGAAAGCTTGTGACATCCTCCAGAGAGTGAGGAACCTCCCTCCAACATTTCCTACATCAGCTCAGGTGATCAGAAATCACCTGAGGCAGCTAACATGGTGGCAGGAAGGGAAGGGAGGAGGTGGAGACTGTGCCATCAGCAGAACTGGCCATCATAAAAGTGCTTGATGGAAACAGTGCTGGGTATCAGCAAATGCAATCGTATCTAAGTCTGAAATGAGTGCCTTTACTGGCGATGGTATTCTCAGAGCTCACTGATCAGGTTACTTCATTTTAAAATGTTTGTTAGGAGAAATCATGTGCCAGTAGATGTGCAGCTTGCCGTAGAGACGGTAGAATAGTCTTGGGGCAGACATAGAAATCGGTATGCTCCTTACCTTGCAGATTTCTGCACCCATGCTTGCTTCTTCATTATTGATCAGGCTGCTTCTTATGCATAAAGAGGTGGTAGCATAAAAATTCAACTTCTTCTTTCTATTATTTTACATTTGTAAATACACCACAATAAGCGTGTCTCTGCAGTTTTGGTTGTTTGGTTGGGTTCTTTGGTTTGTTTGTTTGTTTGTTTTTTCTTGAGGGGGGTTTACTTTGTTTACTCTTTCTATTTTGAGACAGGGTCTCCAACTTGATGTGTAGCCTAGGATAACGTGAAACTGTTGATCCTCCTGTTTCCACCACCCCAGTTCCAAGATAACAGATATGTGCCACCATACCCAGGTTATGTGGTGCTTCGGCTCAAGCCCGAAGCAATCGAGCCACCTCACCATTCTGTCTGGGTGTTCAATTACAGAAATAGGTGCTTAGGAAGAAAACCAAAGAGAAGCAAATACAATCATGAGGAAACAACCCATACTCGCCCCTTTTGACCTTGCAAATCCCATTAGTGAGATGTGACCATTGTTCCCTTTGCCCTTGAGTGTGTGTGTGTGTGTGTGTGTGTGTGTGTGTGTGTGTGTGTGTGTGTGTGTGTGTGTTGTTTCCTAAGTCACAAACATTTTTTAAATGAGTTAAAAGATATACAGGTATTTTTAGACCTTTGGCTTTTTTTTTTTTTCTCGAAACAGGGTTTCTCTGTATAACCCTGCTGTCCTGGAACTCACTCTGTAGATCAGGCTGGCCTCAAACTAATAGAGATCCTCCTGCCTCTACCTCCTGAGTGCTGGTATTAAAGGTATGTGACACCACCGCCAGCTGATGTCTTTGATTTTCACAGAAGTGTTTAATAAATATAACTTTGAAAGGAAACAACATTTCAAAATAAAAAATAGTAGCACCTACAGTGGGTGTCCAGTATCCATCCAATCAAACTTCCTAACATTTCCTTTTGGTAGTTAGCTAAGTGGTTGGCTGGTTTGGGACAGGGTGTCACTATGCAGCCTGAGCAGTCTTTAAACTTAACTTGCAATCCTCCTGTCTCTGCCTCCTGGATGCTAGGATTACAGGCATGCACCACTACACCTGGCTGCTTAGCCTTTTTACTCCATTTTTTTTATGTGAGAAAACCTGCATAAAAGAACTGGTGTTTTCTGTTGTATTTAGAACTTCTTGGTCTCTGTTTTTTTGGGTATCTGGAAACTTTTGATGCTGACACCCATGCCTTCACAAAGAGTCCACCTACTCAGCATTTGGCTGGGCATTGCTCTTTTTCCCAAGTAGCCCTCTTTTAGCTACATTTTGTTCACTTAAACAGCTTGTCTACTTAGCACCCTGAGTTCCTTAGAATAACATTGAACACAATCCTCCCCCATAGGTGGTATGGAATCATATAGTTCCCTTGCCTGCCAAATGGTGATGCTGCTTCTTATAAAATACATTTGAACTATGTAATGGATATTGGTGTGGGGCTAGGGAATAGCTCAGTTGGTGAAATCCCTGCCCACAAGCCTGAGAACCTGAACACATATCTGCAGCACCTAAGTAAAAGCCAGATGTGGCCCTGAATGTCTGGAAACCTACTGACAGGAAGGAGGTTGCTGGTAGGCTAGGCCAGCCAGTTGATAAGACCCCTGTTCAGTGAGAGACCCTGTCTCAAAAAAACATGTTGGAGAGCAACTGATGAAGACAGGTGACATCAATATGACCCCCAGATGCACTCACACCCACCTGAATATGTGCATGCATTATACACACATATACACATACTCGAAGAGAAGCAGGGAGAGGAGGAGAAAGAAAATATTGAGCTGCTTAGGAGAAGGCACAAATAAGTTTAAAACAGTCACAAGTAGCCACATGCGTTTCCTTCCTGGCATCCCTAGGTCAGTGTGGCCCATTTACTCATGGACCTGAGTGAACAGTTGCTGATGATCCCACGTCAGAAAAATGACAGTTGGAACTTCAAAACTCCCGCAGTCACCTGCCCCCTGCAGGATCTTGGAAGTGCAATAACGACCAATCAGAAGATTCTTCAGCAAGACCCCCAGCAGGTAAGTGTGTTACATGCAGGTGGCCTGCTCTGCCAGGAACTCTCACCGTATCAGTCAACCATATAGCCTCTCTGCAGTCTTCAAAAGAGAACTCTACTAGAGAAACTGCTGACTCCTCTCTGGTCTCTTTCTCTACCCCACCAAAGCACAGAGACTACTGAATGCTCACTTAGAGCAAGTGAAACGGATTTAGTAATCATATCATAAACCATCAGTGAGATAGTCAACACCCTTAGCTATTAGGAAAACACAAACTAAAACTAAGAAGTTGTATATAGTGTTATCCCACCATGAGGGAGGCTGAGACAGGGGAATAGCAAGTTCAAGGCCAGCCTGGACTTCATATAAAGCAAGACCTTGTTGGAAGGGGAGAGAGTGGAAAGGAAGGAAGAAAGGGGGAAAGATGGTGATAGCAATTCACACCAAAAAAATATGGGCAAGCCAGGTATGGTGGCACATGTCTGTGATTACAGCCCTCAAGAGGCAGAGGCTGGTGGACCCGAGGGATTCAAGGTTACCCTTAGCAGGACACTGAGTTTGAGGCCAGCCTGAGACTCTTTCTTAAATTGACATCAGAGAAAGAAAGAGAAACAGATGGGCATAAATACTAGCAAGGATGCTGAGAAATTATAACCATTGTAAATTGTTGTGTTGGGAAATAATTCAGCAGCCCCTCAGAGTGTTAGGAATAGTCTGGCTGCATCTCCCAGCAATTCTGCTCTTTGGTATTATGTACAGGAGAGAATTGTTCAAAGAGGATTTTTCAAATAGAAAAAACCCAAAGTGGAAACAGTCCAACTGTGTGATCTGAGGGGTGGATAAAATGCAATATTGTATGTTCACAAGTGGAAACAGTCCAACTGTGTGATCTGAGGGGTGGATAAAATGCAATACAGTATGTTCACACAACATGAAGGAATGAAGTACTGACACACAATTCACCATGGGTAACCCTTAGGAACATCACGTCACACGAAAAGCCATCTACTGTAGTTTACCTTGAGAAATAGCCAGAAGTATCAGGTCTGTAGATGTCGAGTTGGCCAGTTTATTTTAAGGGGATGAATTTGAAAGCTCAATTGCGGTATTGGTTACATATGTAGATGTAAAATGTATATACTCTGAGTGGGTGAGTTCTACCACATTTGGGAATTTCATCTCAAGAGAGCTGTTTTTATATACTCATCATGCTGCTGAGGCAGAAGCTCACTGGTAAAGTGCTTGCCTGTGCTGCGAGAAGCCCCATGTGCCATCCACAGCTCCCCATAGACTGAGCATACACAGCATTTGGGATGGCAGCAGGAGGATCCGAAATTCTAAGTTATATTTGGCAAAGAGTGAGTTTGAAGTCAGCCTGGGTTACAGGACACCTTGTCCTCCCACCCCACGAAGAGCACGTAACGTGAGAACATTGAGGGAAAACTCGTATCAGGGATGTGCACAGAAGCTCCTCACACTAAACCATCTACAGGGCTGATTAACCAGTTAGAATTTCCGTGATTGTGAGGCATTTGGAATGGTACAAGTTCAGAGCGGAGTTATCTTGGGCCATCATCAGCCCTCTTAATAACCATTTGTTGTGTATATGTGATCTGCCATCTATGTGACCATTGGGTAAATCCTTTGAAATGTCCAAACAGACATGAAATATCCAAACAGCTCCCACTAACCAAAAAGCTGAGAATGCTATCAGACAGCAGCTGAGGCCTATAAAATAGAGTCCCCTAATTTCTTTAACCCATCCATCTCATGTGTCCATCAATGTATTTGAAAAATCCTTCATTTAAGACTTTGTTTGTTCTGTTACTATAAAAACTTCATCCGACTGTTGCCATGATGGAACATGGAATTTGGGTAACCTGAATCTGTGTCCTGAGCCTTGGCCACTCATACTTAACCCAGAATGAACTCTCTCAGTATTCATCTGCCTTAATATATATGTATATATATAATACAGTCCATCTTCACTTCTTAGATTGTATCTTTTTGTAATATACATTGCCTATACTCTTAGTTGTACTTTTTTCTTTTCTTTCTTTTTGTTTTCTCAAGACAGGGTTTCTCTGTATAGCTCTGTAGACCAGGCTAGCCTCGAACTCACAGGGATCCCCCTGCCTCTTCCTCCTGAGTGCTGGGATTAAAGGCGTGCACCACTACCACCAAGCTCTTGGTTGTACATTTAATGTTGTACTTTTAATGTTGTGGATTTTTAGAGGAGCAGAACTCAGTGGGTTATAATAATCACTGTTTACTAGCTCTCTAGGCTAATGCTGTGTAAACTTTATGTACTTGTGACCCTTATTTGTCTGTGAAATTTATATGTCCCCAGATATATAGATATATAAACTAGGTCTATAAATAAAATATTTACTGAAAATAAACCATACAATATATATATATATATATATATATATATATATATATATATATTTTTCTTGGCTGGCACTCTTAGTTGATGCAAAGTTGTCAGTGAGACTCTGAACATTTCTATGAGGTCCCAAAGTCCATGTCTGCACTGTCCCCTTTCTTTACACCACTATCAAAATCCCTGTCCCCCTTGTCACCCTATTGGTTCCATTTCACTGACAGTCCATGGATCACAAGGAACCTCACTCTAAATGCAGGTTGAAGACATGCTGGAGATGTCCTTGATGGCCCTGGGAGAGATCCACAAAGCATTTTGCCAGCAGAGCCTGTCTCCTGAGTTGGCAGTGACCTTGACCTCTCCTGTTGCTACTCTGGTGCTGAGCAGGTTAACTGGCTGGAGGACTGGGGACGTTTCATTTTGGTTTTAACTTTTAGAAGGCATGTAGAGACTGATTTGCATTTCAATTCTTTCAGCCAAAATGTATCATCTTTGCCTCTGAGCACTTATACTCTGGGTGACCCTGCTCCCTTGAGGTTAGGTTTTCCATCAGCAGAAGCACTGAAAGAACTCTTAAGTAAACACCCAGGAGTGAACCTTCAAGTGAGTATGAACTTGACTGAGATGAGGATGAAAATGGTATATGATGACTGTGTGGGAATATAAGTGGAGAGAATACACACCGGCTGGCCCAGGTAAGGAAGACTGTGGGCACTAATTTAAATTTCATACTGAGAAGAGAAAGGTCTCTTAAAATTATCTAATAGGGGCTGGGGAGCAATAAAAGGACCCAAGTTTGAATCTCCAGCACTCATATAAATGTGGGCATGGCTGTGTATGCTCATAACCTCAGCATTGGGGTGTAGAGACAGGCAAATGATGAGAGTTCATTGGCCTGCTGGCCTCGCCAAAACTACAAGCTTCCACTTCAGTGAGAATCCTAGGCAAAGAGCAGCAGAGGAAGATTCCTAGTGTCCTACTCTGGTCTCTACATGCCTACTCATTGCCATAAGCTCTTGCACCCACAGACTCACACATATGTCACACACACACACACACACACACACACACACACACACACACACACACGCATACACACACCTACACCTGGTATATAGCTAGGTTTGATGGCAGGTGCCTGTTTTCATAGCACTTGAGAATCAGTAGCAGGAGGATTGCTGTAAATTCAGAGTATAGGGATAGCCTGGGCTATATTGCAAGTCTCAAAAAAATCAGTAAAGAGCTTGGGAACAGTAAATAGATATTCGGATTTATCTAAGTTTCTGTGTTGTGATTTGAATTATCTCAACTACTGACAAAGTTGGGATTATCTGAAAAATAACTGATTTAGAAAAAAAAAACACCAACAGCATTGGAGTATAGAATACTTGCTTCCTACTACATCAGAGCAAATGTGTGAAAATGATGTTCAGGGTCCTAAGTGCAGCACTGTCTTTCATTGTTTCTCAGAAGCATTACAATGTTTAGCATCCCTTTTTTACTTAACACATTGTTGGGGGATCCCAGCACTTGGTTTATAGCTGCTACCTTGTAATCTGTTGGGAGGCTCCTTGGAGCAATTGGAGAACTAGAATTTGCTTCCTCTGCAGGTAACAGGTCTGGCTTTCAACCCTTTTGAGACTTTGGATGACAGGAACATTGTTGGAAGCATTGGAAATGTGCTACTGAGCTCTGGTTATCAATCGCTCCAAGTTCGTGATTTAATAGAAGATATTGAGGTACAAGTTTCTTGATGGGCAAGAAGACAGAAAGATGCAACAACTTAGCATTTTAGATTCATGTCAGAGCTAAGTACATGGCACACACCTTTAATCCCAGCACTTGGAGGCAGAGGCAAGCTATCTCTGTGGGTTCAAGGCCATCTAGGATACATAGTGAATTCTCTATGCCAGAAAGACTACATAGCAAGATCCTGTTTATTTTTTTTTTTCTAAAAGAAAAAAGGATTCATATCAGAGCCAGTATTTCATTACACATCTCAGGAAGCTTCACACAGAGATAGATCTTACTTAGTCCCAGGAGAAGCCATTTAAAACGGTATCCCCTCCACTAATCCCTGGCATTGTGCTGCCTACTAAGACCCAATGAAGAAGCCTCAGGTAGTTCATTACCTCATCACTACAAGGGAATCAGAAAGGCGCATCTAAACTGGGAGGGTTAACTGTCTCTCTTTCCAGATCATGCTCTGGAGAAATGCCAGCATGGAGACCCAGCCCACCAGCCTCAACACAAGTACAGACCATTTCACAATCACAGTGAATATCACCTCCGTGGAGAAAACTCTCATTGTGACCATCGAGCCAGAAAGTCCCCTTCTAATGACACTGCACCTGGGCTTCCAAGACAAGCCTGACCACACTCTCTTCTACCTCAATACCAGCCTTCCAAGGGACCAGGTGTGGCAGAAAGGTATTGGCCATCAGATGTATGAAACTTAACTGTTGATGTGTTTTTCTTATTTTTTAATTAGTGAGTGTGAGGTAATTGTAGGTTCACATGCAGCTACGAGATAAAACAGCATGCACTTTTTTAAACCAGTACTCCTAATGGCTGAGCTACAAGTTCACAACCAGGAAGTGACCTTGACACAATGCACTATCAAGTAGATGTTCCCAGGATTCCAAGCATACACCTCTCTATATACGTGCAGCTTGTTTTATGTAATTAAAGATGGGTTGTGTGATGCATGGAAGGATGTATGCATACATATATGTTTTCTCTATATACATATATAGAGGTAGATCATATATATATATATGATAAAGAAAATTTTATAAAATGCTAATTGTAGAACCAATGATAAATAAACACTATAAAACTCAACATTAAGTGTAGTTGAAAATACTTATAAACACATTAAGGTAAGGACTGGAACATAGCTCTGTGGTACATCATGTGTTTAATATGACAAGGCCAGGATTTCAACGCTTAGGATGAAAAAAAGTTGAGACCAACTGAAGAAATAAAATTCTAGTGTCATGGTAAATATTTTAGGATTTGCAGGTCATAGGAGCCATTATTACAACTCAGATTGATCATCATGTAAAAGCAAAGATATGTGAACAAATGAGACTGACTATATGTCAATAAAATTTAATTTATAGCTTAATTGATGTGAAGCCCATAAATGCAGACCCTTGACCTAGAGTATTGTCAGTTTGTTAATAATAGCAAAAACATAAATATAACACATAAGATAGTATTATATAATAGATATGTACTTAATTCCACAGGGTAATGATAAAAAAAATTACTAGAGTTGTATTTACAAACAAACTGCTTAAATTCCTTTTGTGGTGTTTTTGAAGAAGATCTGGATAAAGCATTAAGAATTTAAAAAAAATTCTAGTGCCATGGGCCATACCATATTATTTCAAGCTTAATAAGTATATATGAAATACATATACCAATTTTTATTTTTGGTCTTAGATCCCAAACACCACTGGTTTTTTATTTTATTTATTTATTTATTTATTTACTTTTGGTTTTTCGAGACAGGGTTTCTCTGTAGGTTTGGAGACTGTCCTGGAACTCTTTTTGAAGACCAGGCTGGCCTCAAACTCACAGAGATTCACCTTCCTCTGTCTCCTGAGTGCTGGGATTAAAGGCATGTGCCACCACCGCCAGGCAACACTGCTGTTTTTCTTTTTTAAAGAAGTTTTTAAAATAATACCAGTAGTTAAAATTTTCTGAGCAGTTGAGCATAAGGGTGGACCTGAATCCTAGCCCTTGAAAGGTGAAGGCAGAAGAATCAAGAGTTAAAAGCTATCCTTGGCTATATAGCAAACTAGAAGCTAACCTAGCCTATATTAAACAAAATTCTGAGAGTTTAAAGAAATAGCTACATGAATAAAATGCCTGATACTCAAGCATGAGAACCTAAGTTTGGATCCCCAGCACCAATGTGAAAGTTTAATATGGACATCCTTGCCACTGGTGGGAGACAACGGTAGATCCCTGAAACTCATTGACCAGCCAGCCTAACTGAATTGATGGGTTCTTATTCAGTGAGAGACCCTAAAGTGAAGAGCAATCAAGGAAGACACCCAGAGTCAACTTCTGGCTCCCATATACAAAAACATACATGCACATGTGTTCACACATGTGAAGAAATATATACCCCACACACAAATATTTGGGATACATAAGTGATGCCTAGATTCACTTCACCCACCATGCTCTATGGGTATAACTTTGAAATGTATTGGGAAGTATCAAAGTCATTTAGAGTTGGAAGGACCTTTGTTGTAAGGATGAGGAAACTGAGACCAGGGAGATAAGGTGACTTGTCCTAATCCTTGATGGCCACCAGGACAGAACACAGGGTCTCATGGGAAATCCAGATGCGACCACTGCATTTGCATCTCTCCTTTATCCTTGAATTTGTCACCAAGGTCTTCAGTCTACCACCTCAGAGGGGTGATGGTGTTTTCTTTTCAAATGCCTGTATGTAGTGGGAGAGGAAGCTGTGGAAGGATCAGGAGGCTCCTGACACTGATGTTGTCTTCATCAATCATTCTTTTACCTTATTCTTTGAAGTGAGGTCTCCCAATGAGACCCAGAGCTTGCTAATATGACTAGCTTCCCTGGGGATCCCTCTGCCTTCCAAGGCTGGGATTGTAGGCAGGTTACCATATCCACCCAGTGCTTATGTAGCTTCTGGGGAATCTAAACTCTGATACTCTTGCTTGCTTGTTATACACTTCACTCTAACTGCTAAGCTAGCCGTTATTGCCCCCCTTTTTTAGTCTCTTATAGCCCAAGCTGGGCTCAAACTCACTATATAACCAAGGATGACACTGAACTTCTGACCCTCCTGTCTCCATTAAATGCTAGCTAGGATTACAGATTTGTGCCACTATGGTGGGATTATTTGTGCTGAGGATCAAACCCAGCATATATGTTAGGTTCATATGTTACATGGGCTACAGTCCCTTCCTGTCTTAGTCAGTGTTCTATTGCTGTGAAAGACATAACAACTCTTATAAAGTAAAGCATTTAATTAGGGCTTGCTTATGGTTTCAGAGGTTTAGTCCGTTTTCATCATGGCAGGGAGTATGGCAGCATGCAGGCAGACATGGTGCTGAAGAAGTAGCTGAGAGTTCTACATCCAAATCCACAGGCAGCAGGAAGAGAGAGACACTGGTCCTGGCTGAACTTTTGAAACCTCAAAGCCCATAACCAGTGACGTTTCCTCCAGCAAGGCCACATCTACTCCAACAAGGACATACTTGCTAGTCCTTCTCAAGTGTTACCATTCCCTGATGAGCAAGCATTCAAATATATTGGCCTATGGGGGCCATTCTTATTTAAACCACCGCACAGCCCATGCATGATTTTTCTAAAACTCATAGTGCATTCCAATTCATTAGGTCTAATGTGCATGTATCAAAAGAACATGATCCCTTTACTGGAATGGATTTGATGCGGAGTTCAGGATTGTGTTACTGGTCTTTTTTGCACATATTTCTGGTACTAGACTTTTGTCCTCATTTGTAAGGTAATAGTAACAAATAATAGTAGTTGTGGATCTGAAGGGATTTTATCCCATTGGAAGTATAACCCATGATTCTTCTTTGTCCTAAGACGAGGAGTACACATGGGTGCTGACACCAAAGAGCCTGCAGTACGGGATTGGTACCTACTACATTATGGCTGTGGTCAATAAAAGCACAGAAGCCACACAGTATACACCTATCCCAGTCTCAGTGGTAACAGCTGTCACCCAGTGCTATTTCTGGGACCAAAACAACAGGACATGGAGAAGCAATGGATGCCAAGTAAGAGAGGAGTGGGGGGCTCTGTGAAACCTTAGCTGCACCCTCCCCCTTCTCTCCTTGGGGATAGGTCAGAAACAACAGCACCTGAAGGAAAACAAAATCATCCTGGGGACAAAGAGGAGGGAGGCCTTTGGTAGTCTGGCAGGAATGTCTCGGCAGCTGTGGGTTTTTGTTTGCTTGCTTGCTTGTTTGTTTTGGGTTGGTTTTTTGTTTGGTTTTTTTAGTTTTGGTTTGTTTTTTTTTTTTTGAGACAGGGGTTCTCTGTGTAACAGTCCTGGCTGTCCTGAAACTTGCTCTGTAGACCAGGCTGGCCTCGACCTCACAGAGATCTGCCTGCCTCTGCCTCCGGAGTGCTGGGATTAAAGGCATGCCACCACCCAGCCATGTTTTTCTAATTCTCATCTCAATGCAATTGTAGACAAGTCTGACAGTGCTGGACACTGAATGACAGCAGACAGCTGTAGACAAAAGGTCGAAAGCAGATGTGGACGCTGTTTGCTAAATATGCTGTGGCTAAAAGAAACAAGTCTCCTGCTAGACTGAAGGAAACTTTTCCAGTTGGGAATATGTTATATACAGGGGATGGAGAGGTGGTTCAGCAGTTAACAGCCTCCTGAGTGCTGGGATTAAAGGCGTGCCCCACCACTGCCCAGTTGGCCTCCAGTTCCTATTTATTTATTTATTTATTTATTTATTTATTTATTATATATACAGTGTTCTGTCAGCATGTATCCCTGCAGCCAGAAGAGGGTGCCAGATCTCCTTACAGATGGTTGTGAGCCACCATGTAGGTGCTGGGATTTGAACTCAGGGCCTCTGGAAGAGCAGTCAGTGCTCTTAACCACTGAGCCATCTCTCCAGCCCGACTTCCAGTTCTTAATCCTTCTGCTTTGGCCTCCCTGAGTATGGAGGTCACAGGCATGTGTCACCACAACCAGCTTTCACATCCTTGATCCTGTGGGTGCTGGCCTGATCTAATGTCTACTTCAGGAACACCACACTGATGCAAGGCCCTGGTAATCGTGAAGCTGTTAGTCCAAGGTCTGAGACTGGAGCTGGGCGTGGTGGTGGTTGTGTGTATTGCCAGCACTTGGGAGGCAGAACAGGGAGATCATGAGTTCAAGGCCAACCTGAGATACATAGAGACTCTGTGTTTAAAAAAAAAATGAACTTGGCAAGGAAAAAATGAAATTCTCAAGAAAGCAACTGCCTCAAACGGTAATTTTTAGGTAGCTACTTCTCAGGTACATCCCCCAGCCAGGAGCATATTAAGAAGCAGGTTCTGCTGGGGTGGCTGTGGGTGAGCCAGGAAGTGCCACAATACGTTCTGGGGAAACCATGCATTGAGGAGCAAGACTCAAGAGCATCTATGCTCTCAGGACACAAGCATTCATGACAGAAACATCAGGTGCTTCTGCCCCCCTGAAGTGCTCTGTGATGCTGTGTCTTTGAGTACAAGGAGAGAGGTTTACTTGGGACTGAGCAGCCAGGACTTAGCATCATGTGGCAGAATTAAGGAATTAGTCATAGAGGCAATATTTTCAGTGGAGGAGACCAGTCCCATGGCTTCACTTGCTAGGTAAGTACTCTACCACTGAGCCTATGTTATAGGCTTTTCATGTACCAACTAAAACATACATTGATAGCTTCCATTTATTCATACTTACTGGTACAATTTAAAAATACACATTATGAAGAAATGTTATACCATATGGAGAATTACAGGGAATAATTTAAAAGTTCTAAACATACCGTTCAGCTTTCTCAAAGTTATTATTTTTCTAATTCAGGGGGTTTTGTTTTATTTTTTTGTTGTTGTTGTTATTTTATTTTGAGACTAATTATGTAGGGCCTAATTGTGTAACCCAAGATGACCTGAATTTCATAGAGATCCACTTGGTTATGCTGGGATTATAGGTGTAGGCCATCACACCTGGCCTCATTCAGAGTCTTAAAAATAATAAAAAACACTCAGGAATAATAGAAGACACCTATGTATCCCTCACTGTTATCATTCCCTCTTTCCTGCTGAGGGCAGTCTCTGCCCTGGATTTGTTTTGCATACACATTCTCTCTGCACATACTCAATGGACACCTGACAGGTGAGGTGCCACATTAGAAACTAGAGATGCAGCCATTGATGGATCACCATCGAAGAAGATTCCACACATCCAGGGCTGCCAAGCCCAACAGCCTGAATGCAACCCCTAGAGCCTATGTGGCAGAAGGGACGAACTCACTCCGGCAAGTCGTCCTCTGGTCTCCACATATATTCTGTGGCACATATTCATTGTGCATATACACATGATATAAATGTGTAGAAAACAGTCTTCACATCCTTTCCCGACTCAAGGCTGCCAGTGTCTTCCATCTCCTTCCAGGTGGGGCTGCAGAGCACCATTCTGAAGACACAGTGTCTCTGTAATCATCTGACCTTCTTCAGCAGCGACTTCTTCATTGTGCCCAGGACGGTGGATGTGGAAAACACCATCAAACTGCTTCTTCATGTGACCAAGAACCCTGTTGGGGTGTCCTTGCTGGCCAGCCTTTTGGGATTCTATATCCTCTTAGTCACGTGGGCGTGGAGGAAGGATCGAGCAGACCTGCAGAAGGTGAGAAGGCTCGGACTCCAAAGGCCATGGTGTCTTGAGTGTGTTGAGTTAGATAGGGGCAAGTAGGCATTGGGGGCCAGGGAGCAGAGAAATTCAAGTGGGATTGTATTAAATCTTTCTGTGTATCTACTGCCTCAAAACAAAGTAAGTTGTTAGTTTCATTTTGGGAGGAGGCAAGATTGGATCATTACAGGAGTCATGCAGACTAGAAATAAACCAGAAAATACCTGTGATAGGAACTCAACTGAAATCAGACTCTTATTTTTGTTTGTTTGTCTGTTTTTTTTTTTAATACAGGGTTTCCCTGAGTAGCCCTGTCTGTCCTGGAACTCATTTTGTAGACCAAACTGGCCTCAGAGATCTGCCTGCCCCTGCCTCCCAAATTCTGGGATTAAAGGCATGTGCCACAACTGCCCAGCTATCGAACTCATATTTATCTTCCCTTATACACTAGAAAAAGTTATGCTGAAGTAAAGTATAATTTAACATAACTAGAGCATACAGGAAACTAGTAAAGAATTCTTTTCTGGGACTGGTGACATGGCTCACTGGGTAAAGTTGTTGTCCTCAAGCCTGACAAACTGAGTTTGATCCCCACTATACACATAGGGGAAGGAGAGAACAGCAAGTTGTCCTCTGACCTCCCTCCACTTGTGTGTCATGGCACACCTGTGTCCCCACGATGCACATACATAAATAAACACTAAAGTTTTTACAAACTTATTTTCTGTGTCTTGAGACACAGCCTTATACTGTCCCCCAACTTGATCCAAGAAACACATTGTATAACCCAGGCTGGTCTTAATATCACAGTATTTCAAGTGCTAAATTTACAGATGTGAGCCACCATACTTGGCTGGGTACATTTCTTTTAGACAGGGTCTCACTGAGTAGTCCTGGCTGTCCTGGAACCCACTACATAGCTCAGGCTAACCTCGAGCCCACAGAGATCCTACCTGCCTCTCAAGTGCCACCACACCTAGCTATGACTAGAAAACAACGTTTAAGGTTTATTTATTTATTTATTTATTTATTTATTTATTTATTATTTATAAAGTTCTGCCTGCATGCCAGAAGAGGGCACCAGATCTGATTACAGATGGTTTGAGCCACCATGTGGTTGCTGGGAACTCAGGACCTCTGGGAGAGAAGCCAGTGTTCTTAACGTCTGAGCCATCTTTCCAGCCCCTGAAAAAAAAATTAAACAGCAAAATTATTTGGCAGCTTTTTCTTAATTTCTATTTTATATATTACTTATTTTTTTCTTCAAGGCCTTATACACTTAAACAGCAAAATTATTTGGCAGCTTTTTCTTAATTTCTATTTTATATATTACTTATTTTTTTCTTCAAGGCCTTATACACTCTAAGCAAGGGCTCTACCAATAACTACACTGCAGCCTCTTGTTTATACTTGGAAGTTCTAGGAGGTGGAATATCTGTTTCTTATTGTTCTAGGTGAAGTGTCACCAGCTTTAGTAAATAAAAATACAAGACAGGCCATGCACTGGTGACACAAGCTTTTAATCCCAGCACTTGGGAGGCAGAGGCAGGCGGATCTCTGTGAGTTCAAGGCCAGCCTGGTCTACAGAGCAAGTTCCAGGATAGCCAGGACTACATAGAGAAACCCTGTCTCAAATAAACCAAAAAAAAAAAAAAAGACAGCAGTTTAATTTGTATTTCATATAAACAATAAATGGATCTTTAGTAGGTCCCATGACCCTCATTGTTTGTCTGAAACTCCAGTTTCCCTGGGTGTCCTCTACATTACATACTACTCCTGCCTGAGTGGGAGGGAGGTGGGGGGCTTAATGCCCAAGGCCCATTCCAATGATCCTAAGGATGTTTCATTTTAAAGACAGCCTGGAATTTCAGACCTCATCCCTCTGTTCACTTTGCTGGCCTGTGTGTGCTTGCCTGGTGACACCACCTCACACTGCTTCCCATGGGATTTCCAACACTGCCTCTGAGAAGCCTGTTCCCCAGCTGGAGCTCTATTGAGTAGACCTGGCAAGCTCATTGCTTCTGCTCTTCCTGCAGGTGAAGGTGACCATCCTGGCTGATAATGATCCCAGCTCTGCATTTCACTACCTTATCCAGGTCTACACTGGGTATCGAAGGAGAGCTGCTACAACAGCCCAGGTTAGCAGGACCCACGCTCATTACTGTGTCTTCTGCGATGAGGCACACTCTAACTTGGCAGTATCTTGTTGTCCAATAGTGCTTTAAAAGGAATCACGGGGGTTGTCACTGCCTAGTCCGGAAGTGTGTTATGAGGAACCCCCACCCCCACCCCTGACTTGTCTAACTTCCAATAGCTGCTTCTTTCTGCTTAAGGAAAAACCCAAAGAACAGTGTTACAGTACCTCATATTTTATCTTTCCTTGTTCCTCTTAGGTTGTTATTACCCTCTATGGCTCCGAGGGGCACAGTGAGCCCCACCACCTGTGTGACCCACAGAAGACAGTCTTTGAGCGTGGAGCACTGGATGTTTTCCTCCTCTCTACTGGGTTCTGGCTGGGGGACCTGCATGGTCTTCGGCTGTGGCATGACAATTCTGGCAATAACCCTTCTTGATAAGTACCTGCCCTGTGCTGGCTCATTTTTTTCTTTTAATTTTTTTCATTTATTTATTTATTTAAATTTATTTGTGTGTGTGTGTGTGTGTGTGTGTGTGTGTGTGTGTGCCATTCACCTGTGTATGGAAGTTAAAGGACGGTGTGAGAGTCAGTTCTCCCCTTCCACCAGATGGGTTCTGGAAACTCAGGTTGAACTCAGGTTGTCAGAGCTGGTGGCAAGTGCCTTTACCCACTGAGCCACCTCACTGTCTCTTGTTTCTAGGTCCCTTGTAGCCTTGGGAGAGACCAGCAAGTTACCACAGTAAACAATAAATAATGCTTTCAACCAAATCATAGCAAGTGGCTGCAGGATCCAGAAACCTAGAAAGAAAGAAAGAAAGAAAGAAAGAAAGAAAGAAAGAAGCTAACAGTACAGTCGGGGTGTATAATAGAGTGAGGTCCCTCATTCTTATTGTGTCATAACTGTGAACAGCAGATAGCAATGGTACAATAACACATGCCTCTGAAAAGTGCCAACTAGTACTCTGTGTGCTATTGTGTTGCTCTTCTATATTTTAGATATAATTAAAGGCTAAAACACTGTAGTTGAGGGGCTGGGGAGGGAGGTGGCTCAGTGGCTAAATTGCTTACCACGCAAGTGTGACAGCCTGAGTTTGAATCCCTATAACCCACACAAAGCCAGGTGTGGTAATATGCATTAGTCTTCCCAGAACTCCTACAGTAAATGGGAGGGGGAGACAGGAGAATCCCTAGTGGATGCAGCTGAGAGCAAGGGACCCTGTCTCAAACGAGGTAGAAGGAAAGGACTGACACCCAAGGCTGCTCTCTGATGTCCACATGAACTCTGTAGCATGTGCACACAGCATTATGCACAAAAACACACACATTTGAAAAAAAAAAACAAAAGAAAATATAGTTAGGAAGAGGATCAACTCTAAGACCTGAGAATCTATAGTTCTGATTTGGCTACAGACTCAGAGGCGATGAGAAGTCGTTAATATAAATGTTTAATATGGATGAAAAAACTGTAAGTGTGTGGGATACTTTAAGGAGTAACAGATCATTATCACACTCGGAACACAGAAAGTCTAAATACACACATGCACAATCTTCTCAGGCAGTAAAGTTTGCAGTCATCATCTTGAGCATGAACTTCCTGAGGGCAGCAGGTGGGACTGGCTTGCCTGCCTATCATTCTTGCCTTGCAAAGCGTTAGTTGCTCACTTGGGTACTCGCTTCAAGTGCAAGATGCCCTCTTATCACACAGCAAGCAGTCAATGCCCACTTCCTAATGGTGGCCTTTATCTGACTGTAGGTATGTGAGCCAAGTGATTGTCAGTGACATGACTGTGAAGAAGAAGTGGCATTTCCAGTGTAATTGTTGGCTGGCCGTGGACTTGGGCAACTGCGAGCGTGATGGGGTCTTCACACCAGCCTCCAGGAGGCAGCTCTCTTCCTTCAGGTACAATCGTTAGTGCAGACACTGATGCACACTTAGAAGAATACATCTCAGCTATTTACTCCTTATCGTCTCCCTGTCAATCTCTTGGACTCAAGATTTTGGATTCTTCTTGTCATTTCCCTCCTCAGAACAAAAGAAGTGGCTACAAGAGGCCAAGCATGTGAACTTACATAAAACACCTAAATGTCAAGATAAAAAAAGTGGCCCATAACCTCTCCTCAGGAATGTTCCCTTTCCTCTCCTTGTGTGGGGGGAACAAAAAGCTTCCATTACTTCTGAGAAGCCACTCCTATTCTGTTGCTACAGAAGAAGTCACCCCACCACCAAACATTCTACTTTTGTTACAATTTTGAGGGTCATAAATTAAGGGAAGGGCGGGGCTGGAGAGATGGCTCAGAGGTTAAGAGCACTGACTGCTCTTCCAGAGGTCCTGGGTTCAATTCCCAGCAATCACATGGTGGCTCACAACCATCCGTTATGAGATCTGGTGCCCTCTTCTGGTGTGCAGATATACATGGAAGCAGAATGTTGTATGCATAATAAGTAAATAAAAATCTTTAAAAAAAAAATAAGGGAAGGGCATACCTTGGTAGTGTTCCTTCAGATTGGCTGGATCTGTAGCCATCTGTGACTTCATGCTGGCACCTGCCATAGTCAGCAGGTGGTGATGACGGTCAACCACACAGCACCTACACATGGCTACCCAGCACGGCAACTTAAGGCAAACTGGGTGCTTTGTGACCAGCTTTTCCTAGACTGGCATTTCAGGAGAACTAACTAGTTCCTGTTCTTTGTGACCCCGCTCTACAGAGCTTCCCAGGGAAGAAACAGCCTACCATTTGATGGGAATAGTTCAAGTGAATCTTGAAAATGTATTCAAATTGCCACATTAACTTACATGAACATAAAGTCTATGGTTTGCCTGCCCCAGCAAAGGCTATGCAGCTTGACTTTGCCTGTGTCCTCAGTAGTATTTGGTCACATTTGGTGTGTGCTAGCTGTTTACATAGGGTCTTCCTGGGTTACTTTGGCCCAAACTGAAACTCTTTTTTTTTTTTTTTTTTTTTTTTTTTTTTTTTTTTTGTTTTTTTGGTTTTTCGAGACAGGGTTTCTCTGTGTAGCTTTGGAGCCTATCCTAGCACTCGCTCTGGAGACCAGGCTGGCCTCGAACTCACAGAGATCCGCCTGCCTCTGCCTCCTGAGTGCTGGGATTAAAGGCGTGCACCACCAATGCCCTGCCAAACTGAAACTCTTAAACAATGGCATAAGAGACTGGGTAAGATCAGCTTTGAATAGTCATGGTCCATAGCCTGGGAAAGTCTCCCCATGGTTCCTTGTCACTGCAAAGTAGGGAGTTGTTAGAGCAGAGGAAATAAATGACATGGGCTAGGTGACCGATAAGATTTGTCACTGTGCAGGGACTGTCTTGTACCTGACATGTGCAGAAATCCCTTGGACATCTAGAGGTAGAATTTCTGAATTGAAGGATATGCATATTGTGAGACAAAAGGTAATAAGTTGTCACAGTGAGGTTCTCATTTCACTCCTTCTTTCAACACTCATTTTCTCTGTAATACCCATTATCGTAGTCTCTTAGTTGGTAAGCTATTTTCATTTTGGGTCTCATAACGTAATCTCCTTTAGTTCTTTGATTTAAAGTAGCTCATTAAAAGTCTTTGTTAGAGGCCAGATGTGATGGTACACGCCTGCCTCAGAGGCTGAGACAGGAGGATCATGAGTTCAAGGCCAACCTGGGCCACCAGCCTTTGTCTAGTAAATACAATGTCTTGGCCTCCCTACAGGCAATCTATTCACTGTCTTCTCCCTATGTACTGCCAGCATGCGCTCTAATTTGTTAATGTGTGTTAAGAACAGCATTTGTTATCACAGTGCTGGGGAACTCAGGTCTCTTTCTGCTCACACAAGCCGTGCTGTGTTTGTCTCATTCTTTTTTGGCTCACCCATTGTCTAACAGCTGTAAAATTAAACAGCCTCTGAACATTTCTGACCGTGTCTCCAGCGGAAATGTGCTTTGCTCTGGGTGAACCCCCTGCTGGGTTAGATAAAGAATAGTTTGGGAAATAGGATTTATCCTTCCTGTTCTAAATTTTTACCACAATTCTTTTCATTGTGGGTCACTCTTCTTATCCTATGTGGCATTCAGAATGTCATAACTAAATTCTGAAACTCTCATGTAAATTCTGAAGAGGCTAATCTCTGCTGTTCTCTGGTTGTGTTGGAGGCTCTCAGCCATCCTCCGTGTTGTTAAACAGCATTTATGTATTTGTTCTCTTCTCTGTGGCTTATCTAACCTACTTGGCAAGCTCCAGACTAGTGATAGACTCAGTTTCAAAAAGCAAACACACACACACACACACACACACACACACACACACACACACATGATAGCACACCTGGCTTTTTTAAAAACATGGCTTCAGGGAACCAAACTCAGGCCTTCATCCTTGACTGAGCTGTCTCCTCTGCCTGGGTGGATTCCAGTCCACTAATGTTCTCTTCAAACATATTTGTGTGTAATAATCTTTTTTTTTCTTGAGCATTTTTTTCAGGGTCAGCCTGTTATGAATGAGGCTGGGGGTTCCAGGCATAACCCCCTACAAACACACACGTTGCATCTCACAAAAAGAAATCAAATTGGTTTTATTTCTGTGGTTTTCATAATTTTTATTTCTCTGGGGGAATTCCTTTAGTGTTGGGGGGGTTGCTTTGTGGGGGAGGGTTGCATCCCTGGCTGTCCTGGAATTCACAGAACTTGCCCACCTCTGCCTCCAGCCTGCTCTTGTGAAGTTTAGTCGGGTGTTCTTAGTTCTTCCGTTTGACACACTACTTACAGTTCCTCCACACTTGGAATACAGAAGGTAATCAAAATGTGAATTTCCTAACATGTGTATTAGAAGTCTACTTTTGAAGAAAAGTAATCTACCAAAACTCGGAGATCATCAAAATGATTTTTTTTTATTTTAAAATCTCATGTGATACAAAAAGCTCATATAGGGCTGGAGAGATGGCTCAGCAGTTTAGAGCACTTGTTGCTATTACAGAGGAATCAGGTTCAATCCATGGCACCCTCACGGTGGTTCACAGCCATTATAACTCAAGTTCCAGGGGATCCAATGCCTTTTTATGGCCTCTGTGGACCTCAGGTGTACATGTGGTACATAGACATATATGAAGCAAAACACCTATGCATACAAAATAAAATACATAAATCTTAAAATTTGTTTTAATCTCATACAATGCATATTATCTGAGAGCTTGATCAGAAAGGTGTTAAGTGGAGGTATATGTGTTTTGTTGCTGGACAAAACGTGCTTTAGTCTAGGTTGCTTCAAAGTGAAAGCTCAGGCTGGCAGGATTGCTCAGTGGGTAGAGGCACTTGCCACTAAGTATAATGACCTATATTCAATCCCTGGAACCCATATATTATAAGGAGAGAATTGACTCCTGCAAGTCCTCTGACCTCGCACTTGAAGTGACATATGAGCCCCCACACATGAAATTTAAAAATATACAGATTGTGTCTTTTCTCATCTAATTTCTCATTTTAGACACCTGTTCTCCTCCACTATCATAGAAAAGTTCACTCAGGATTATCTGTGGCTCTCAGTTGCAACTCGACACCCCTGGAACCAGTTTACTAGAGTCCAGCGGCTCTCTTGCTGTATGACACTACTTCTCTGTGACATGGTCATCAATGTTATGTTCTGGAAGACGGGTGGTGCCACTGCCAAGAGGGGTGAGTAAAGCCTGATGTGGGCTGCCTGCAGGAGGTGATGCTTTATTTGTCTTTCCCTCTTCACTTTAAGGGTTGGGAGCTGAGTCATGGTGTACCTTCATTTGCCTGGACATTGCCCTGACATTATACGCTAGCACATTCTCTTGGTGCTCTCCCAGCCTCTTTACTGCCATGGACCGCTTTCTACCTCCAGATAGTTCCCACATAAGTAGCTCTAACCCAGGAGGGTGGAAACTGACGCCAGTCTTTCCTTTCAGTTGGTCCATTTGCTGTGACCTGGTCAGAGATAGCCATCAGCGTCCAGACCGCCATCATCCTCTTCCCTATCCATCTGGTCTTTGGACGGCTCTTCCAGTTGATTCATCCACCGGAAACTCTGACCCCGCTTCCTCCCATCCAGGCTACCTGCCCCTCAGGTCTTGCTTGGGAGTCCCCCTCTCCCACACAGGTGGTCACGGTAAGCTTCAGAGCTCATTTTTATTTGTGAAGTACCCTTCCCCTTCTGTGTGGTGGGAAAGCCATGGAGGACTCCTTGGAAGGCTCACACTGCCCTGGTCCCTTTTATGGCTTTCCCCTAAGCCCTGTCCACCGAGTTGTGCTCAGTCATACTCCTAGATTTCCTCCACGGTTATGAACTGCTCCGGAGACTGAGTGTGGGGCAGCGCTTTTAGTTTTTGATGTTTGAGCAAACAGTCCCTCTCTCATTCTATAGTCTCCCATAGAAATGGTTTTGAAGGCACTGTGGGGTAACTCTTCTCTGAAAAAAATTAGAAAATGAAGCTCTGGGTTTCTTTATGCTAAGCACGTGCCCTTGACTAAAAGAAACAGGCTTACCATCTGTAACTGCACCCAGTGCTGGACTAATGCAAGACAGACTGAAACCTCTCAACTCGGTTCCATATCCAGGAATTAAAGGAAACTCTGGGATTCCTGCTCAGGAGAAACACATACCTGCTCTCCGAATGTGAACAGTCTTGGTGGTGTTCTTGTGACATTAACGAGCTCGTGAAGCTTTTCTCTGGCCTCATTTACTCTCACTTAGAAGACCAAGGCTGTCACCAGCAGAGAGAGTCCCCACGGGAAGACGGTAAAGTCCAGATATTTTACTAACTCATCTAGCATCGCCTCCACCCCATGCATACCTCAAGTTCTTACTCATTTTTGCCTTTTGACACAAGGCAATTTAAGCTTATTTAATTTCCTTAAGATTTCGACCTTAGGCTGATAGCTTTGGTCTCTTGACTTCTAGATAATCTGGTGATAAAACTTCAGTACCAGTTGTAAAAATGTAAAAATATGTAGATGCCATATTCTATTGGCTGAACCTGTCATGTCATCTTTTTTTCCCCTTGAGTGGAGAGGTTGTATGATTTATGAATTTTGAATCCAGTGTGGGGGACTTGCTAGTCTAGGCTGCATGTACTGGAGCTCAGGTGGGAAAGCTCAGGAAGGTATTAAAAGTGTCTAGGTCGGGGCTGGAGAGATGACTCAGAGGTTAAGAGCACTGACTGCTCTTCCCAGAGGTCCTGAGTTCAATTCCCAGCAACCACATGGTGGCTCACAACCATCCATTATGAGATCTGGTGCCCTCTTCTAATGTGCAGATATACATGGGAGCAGAATGTTGTATACATAATAAATAAATAAATAAATAAATAAAAATAAAAACTTTTAAAAAAAAGTGTCTAGATCAAAGTTCAGAGCTGTACAATGGTGAGAGGCATCTGCACCCTCAGGAGGGAGTAGTATGACAGGTGCTGGAGCCTGTCTCCCTCAGTACTGGAAATGTTAGCTTTACCGTCACTTAATAAAATACTCATCTCCATCACTGTTCCCTATTTATCGAAATCTCCCATTTGTGAACCTGAAATAAACCCTCAGTGGTTTCTGAAAACCACCACCATTTCTGCCGATACCTGCTCCACGTTCTACAGAGACTGAAATCGCACTTGAGTGCTCTCAGTGCCGCTCAGGTTCAGCAGCCCTGTGACTTCTCAGAAGCAGTGAGCCAACTTCAAAACCTCCAGGAACTCCTGGAAACACAGACTCTTCCCAGGGAGCAGGGGCCATGCAGGTAAGCACGCGGGGCTCTCGTCACTACCGGGAAGCTTCTTCCTGGTGTCTAGCTGGAGCTGATTCCTTCAATTTCTATTCTTCAGGTACTCAACCAGTTTCCCCATCCTGAGCCCAGAAGAAGGGAAGAAGTCCATGTTGTTTTGCCTATTCAAATGGTTGAAATACAGCTGCTGGCTCTTTCTAGGTGTCATTAGCCTGGCTTCAGCTTTTTTTATAACACTTTATAGCCTGGAGTTGAACAAAGACCAAGCCACCAGCTGGGTTATTTCAATGATGCTATCAGTACTTCAAGACATCTTCGTCAACCAGCCAATAAAGGTACCATTGGAAGAAGCTGGAGAAACTGAGGCCATGTGTGTAAACCCAAGTTTTGAAAATTAGTATATAGTAATCAACAGGCAGAGTGATATTTGTTAAGGATCTATGTTAAGGAACAATAGAAAATGACTAGCAGCTAATAGATTAGCATATGTATGGCAGAAAAAGTTGAAGATGGGGACAATTTTTTAAAAAATCAAACATTGTGCCAGGTGTTGGTGGCATGTCACTTTAATCCCAGCACTTGAAAGACAGAGGCAGACCCCATCTCCATGAGCTCAAGGCCAGTCTGGTCTACACGGGAATTCTATGAGTTCCAGCTCAAACATGTGGTGGATGAGATATTGAGGCAGGTAAAGGCAGTTGCTGTCTCACCCCTTAAGTCTAACAACTTAAGTTTGATCCCAGGAACCCACATGAATGAAGACACACACACACACACACACACACACACACACACACACACGATGGTAATAACAACATTAATAACAATAAATAAAATAATGACAATAACTTTTTCAAAACCAACAACAAATCACTTTTTTTAAAGGAACACAATTGGGGCTAGAAAGCTGGCTCAGCAGTTAAGAGCACCTGCTGCTTTTGCAAAGGCCCCAGGTTTGATTCCCAACACCCACACAGTGGCTCACAGATATCCATAACTCCGGTTCTGACCTCTATGGGTACTAAGCATATAAGTGGTATACATACATAAACAAAGGCAGAGGACTCATACATATAAAATAAAATAAATCTTTTCTAAAAATTTTAAGAAACATAAAGATTTTTAAATTTTTAACTAAGGAAAAGTCAAAGCACACCAAAGTATAGAAAATAACATATGAATTCTCAAGCTCTGTTACCCAACATCAAAAATTACTAATGATAGCCAGGCAGTGGTAGTGTATGCCTTTAGTTCCAGCACTTAGGAAGCAAAGGCAGGTGGATTTCTGTGACTTTGAGGCCAGCCAGGTCTACAGAGCTAGTTCCAGGACAGCCAGAGCTGTTATACAGAGATGAAACAATATTGGCCATCATTGTTAAAAAGAAAGAAAGAAAAAATTTTTCCAATGATGGCCAATATTGTTTCATCTGTTTTAAAAAAAAGAAAATTCCAAAGTTCACATGATTTTTGTCTGTATATCTCTGAAATTTATATTTCTCTAAATCTTAAACTTTTTAAAACATAAAATGTTATTTTTGATTTAATAAAGCTTGCCTGAGGGTTCAGGATGCAAAGCCAGCCACAAGATACAGAGATCAGGCAGTGGTGCCCAGCAGCCATACTAGCAAGCCATAGAGCCAGGTGGTGGTGGCACACACCTTTAATTCCAGGACTCAGGAGACAAGCAGACGTATCTCTGTTGGTTCAAGGCCACACTGCACTATATGAAATTCATCTGGTCCTAAAGAGAAACAGCTCACACACAGATGATCTCAGCACTTGGGATCACACACTTTTAATCACAGGATTTGAGAGGTATAAAAGAAAGAAGCAACAGGTCTCATGAGGCATTTAGTCTCCAGCCACGCCGAGGACAGGACAGCCCTGTCTCTTTGAGGTAGAGGTAAGAGCTAGTGACTGGCTGCTTTGCTTTTCTGATACCTCAGGCCATCTTTATTACATCATAAATAATATAACACCATATAAAAATCATGAAAGCATGTAAATAAGTTAACAGTTTCTTAACATGAGAATAACCACACAAGGAGTTGTTCAGGTCATTCGTCTGTAAAGGAACCTGAGTTTGATCCCTAGACCCTACATGGTAAAAGGAGATAACTGACTCAGAGAAGTTATCCTGATCTCTACAGGGATGCCATGGCTACAGGCTAATACAAGTGTGTAAATAAATGTGATGTACTGTCAGTCCCCTCCTCCCCTGTATGTATGACATCATTGTCTGGGGCCTTCCAGTACTTGCTCATGGAGTTCCCCTGTGACTCTTGTCTCCAGGTGATCTTCCTCACATTCCTGTTCTCACTGATGTCGAACCAGATGCCATGGCTTAACAAAGACAAAGAACAACATGCCAAGAGAATCGTAGCCCTTTGGGGTAATTCACATAATCCCAACTATTGCTTAATTTTATGAAGAACAAACCATGTAAAGACAGTTGAATTCGAGCTACTTCGGTGATTCTGATTTACTCAGAGGCCACGTCATTTGGCTGATCTCTGCCCAGGAGCCCAGTGTCACAAACTCACACATTATCCCCCCTGGAAACCAGTAGGTCCTCTCAGTGCTTCCATGCTCTGTTCCATCTCTCCTCCCTCCTGAGCCCCAGGCAGTACTTGTACTGCCTGTCATTTCTACCTGAATGCCTTCAGTTAACTCAGACCAAGGTGTCTGCCCGGCCCACACACCCACTCTTGTATATTTTCTCATTTCTCTAAGGAGGAATCATCCCCAACACTCTACACATTAGAGTAGTCCTAAGTACTCTTACTCCTCACACTCAGTCACCAAGTCTGAGGGGCTACAGCCTGTTTTAAAAAAAAAAAAAAACTGACTAAAAGCTACTCATATTACCTGGAACAACATTGCAGACACAGTGTTGAGCCAAAAGTGCAAGATACAAAAATGCTAGCACAACGTTATCCACGCGTTGGCTAGAGAATGTATGTGTGTGTCCCCTATAAATATAGCTGTACAAATGGGAATAATACCACATAGAGGACTATGCGATGGACATGCAGCTAGCAGTTGCTTACTTAACAGTGGCCGTGCTAAAGGCTAGGCACTCCAATCCTAGTGAGGTGTTACAAACTAACAATCTCACTTGAAATGCCTTTCTTGTCCTTATTTCATCTCTTACTCATTTGAACTATTTTCTTTATGTGAAGTGACTTTTTTCAAAGTTCTTGTCCTTGTCCATCTGAAGATCTATGACCTGCCAGTAAGACAAATGTTGTGTGGGGTATCGTTCAGGGTGAGAGTGCTTGCTGGCATACAAAAGGCCCTAAGGTGTGAGTCCCAGCACTGAGAAGAAAAGTCAAATTCCTCTGTGACACCATCTCCAACTTTCTTCGGAGAAATTTGTTTATTTTCCAGTGATTGTATTGCACTTGGCACATGTATGCTAGTAACGTTTCTTTGATTTCCCCTCTCTCTCTTTCTGTACCTCAGTCTCTAACCTTCCCTTTTGCTTATAAATCTCCACATCCTGCTGCTGTGTATAGTCCTCAGACCAGACCATTGTCCCCTCCTAGATTCTTCAGAAGTGTTCTGTGTTGGACCTTATCCCTGAATCTGCATTGAGTAGAACAATGTTCCCAAAGTACACTCCACTGAGTAGAAGCACAGGTATCTAAGAACCCAACAAATTCATTCATTCTATTGAATCTGTTTTTTTAAGATGAAAAGGCTAGGGATGAGCTCAATAGAGCACTTGTCTGGTGTGCATGGGGCACTGCACTGGATTCTCGGCACTGAGAGAAAACCCTTGTCAGTGGGTGGTGGTGATGCATTTCTGTAGTTTCAGCATCTGGGGGGCTGAGTCAGAGGAGATCACCAGTCTGAGGCCAGTCTAGGCTATGTCTGACAACAGAGGCACTGTCAGAAAAGGAGGAGAGAGGAGAACATGCTAGGGTTGTTTCTTTGGTATAGTACCAAGGTTCACACATGGTAGACAAGCACTCTACAGCTTAGCTACACTCCCATACTTGTGCTGAATTTCATTTTTCTAGGAACCACTTTGTAAGTTTGGTCCCCAATGGGTTGGAATTTTAAGAAGGAAAACCCAGGCCCTTTTCCCTTAGATGTAAAGGTGCTGCTTAGACCACATTCTGTCTGCTCCTCCAACATTCTCCAGGAGATGCTCACAGTAGATACTCAACAAGCAACTAACAACCATGTAATGAAATATAACACTTATTTGGCCTATATTTCAATATTTGACAGCAAAGTGTTCTTCATCGGCACCTGGTTTGAGAGATAAGAACAATCCCATCTATACTGCCCCAGTAATGACCAGCTCAGCCAAGCCCCCAAAGGGAGCCTGGAAGAAGCATCTCTTCAAGCTGACTGGTGGCACTCTGGGTATGAAGGGGTGGCGGCAGCATGCACCTCTGTACACACTGTCCAGAGGGGAGGGCAGGGGGGATAAGAAGAAGAACAGAGGAGGGCAGAAAAGTGTCTTTGAGAATGAAATCCAGCAATTCAGGTGATGGGATTGATGGAAAGAACCTGAGCTTCCGATCCTCAGGTTTCACTGAGGTGGTGGTCAGGATCTCCACCTACAAAGGGGAAAACAATATCCAATTTATATACTCCCTGCACTGGGGGAAAGGATGAAATTGCTTTGGAAAATGGCTCGTCTAAGTGCCAGGTTCAACATATTTAGCACCCTATTGGGTCCCCTGGACCAGAGAACAGAGAACAACTCTGTTGTTCTTTATTATTTTCATGCCTTCCCTTTTGTGAAGCCAGAATATGAAAGAGCACTTACCTCTAAGAATCAAAATACAGTATATTTATGGGGGTATTAAGTTTGAATTAAACCTCTGATTATTAGTAGGATGATTCTGGACAAGAATTATATATACTTAATATATGTATACACACATATATGAATATATTTCACACATTGGGTTGAACTATTTGAAATTGTCTATTTCAACTACTAGGTTTTTTGTTTCTTGTTTTTTGTTTGTTTGTTTGTTTGGGTAGTTTTTGGGGGGGGAGGTTGAGACAGGGTCTCGCTATGTAGCCCTGACTGTCCTGGAACTCACTATGTAGACCAAGCTGACCTCAAACTCTCAGAGATCCATATGCCTCTTCCCTCCAAGTGCTGGGATTAAAGGTGTGGTGTATGCCATTATGCCCAGCTCTGTCTTGACTGTTTTGACCTGCAAAAGTCTAAAGTGTAAGAAAAATGAAAAAAGGTTTACATTTCTAAAATAACTGATCATGAATTTTTTTTGTTGTAAACTAGTCCAAATCCTCTTTCTGAGCCTGCTGATGGCTACTGTCTACTCTGCAAGGGACTCCAGTCAGTTTCTCCTCCATCAAGCTATCAGAAAGAGGTTTTCTCACCGTTTCTCAGAAATCAAACTTCTGGAGGATTTCTACCCCTGGGCCAAGCACTCTCTCCTTCCTAACCTGTATGGAGATTACAGAGGTAAGAATGGTTCTGGGGCAGATGGGAGGTGCAATTAGCTCACCTGAACCCCTACTACAACCCATGGAAAACCAGAGAAAGGTCAGTGGCTTCTCAATGTGGCCACATCTCTGTGGACACTTCAAAGTCCCTAGACTCCATCCAAGAAGCTTCAGTTAATGACTCCTGGTAGCCCATGTCATCTGATTTTCCACTGGTACATGTCAGAGGAAGGTCACAGGGATAAGCAATGATCCACTTACAGCATAAAAAGTAACTGCAGAGACCCTGGGACTCAGCCACACACTGAGTACAGGAATATGGTCTAATAAGAATGGTCTTTCGGACTGGAAAGATGGCTCAGAGGTTAAGAGCACTGACTGCTCTTCCAGAGGTCCTGAGTTCAATTCCCAGCAACCACATGGTGGCTCCCCACCATCCCTTATGAGATCTGGTGCCCTCTTCTGGTGTGCAGATATACATGGAAGCAGAATGTTGTATATATAATAAATAAATAAATAAATCTAAAAAAAAAAAAAGAATGGTCTTTCATGGCATGGGCCTTTGGCCATGTGTGCCATTTTTCCTAGCTCTCTGACTATGTAAGTTTTCTGTGTGCTTACCCAATTTAGTTCCACTAGCATGCATTGAATATCTACAGTCTGCAGGGACCTTTCCTAGGAGCTGATTTAAAATTAAAAAAAAAAAAAGTCAGTTCCAGGTGGTAGTGGCGCATGGCTTTAATTCCACTGCTCAGGAGGCAGACGAAGGCAGATCTCTGTGAGTTTGAGGCCAGCCTGGTCTACAGAGTGAGTTCCAGCACAGCCAGGGTAATTTCTCTATTACACAGAGAAATCCTGTCTTGGGAGAGAAATGGTCATAATGGAGTCTGTGTCCTCAAAGAACCTCACCAAAATAGGCACTGCCAAGCTTCATCCTGCAGCATGTACAAGTGGCTAAAATTTTCTTCCCTCAGAGACACTTCCTATTCACTGTTGGTTTGATTTTGCCAGTTACCCAGCTCTACCATGACATAACTTTGTGCCCTGCTGAGTAAGCCAAATTCTGGGAATCATTTCCATTTGCCTCGGGGTTGGTGGTTTCATGGTGAGATTCAGGACATAGCCTATGTTCCTGAAGAGAATCTGAAGGATATGTTCATCTTAGCAAGTACTTTCAGTTTCCTGAGTGTGCACTTGGTGTGTGAACATTCTTACAGAAGGCAACTCCTACTCAATGTATGGTGATTTTTGTTTATGTACAATTTTGGATGATAACAGATTTAGGTTCAGGGAATATTCTTTGTAATACATAACTCTATGCTGAATAAAATATTGACAAAGTGATTAGAAGCCAAAATGGCAAAAGTTGAGGCCATAGAAACGCTAGTCTTGTCTTGGTCTCCTTGGATGCAGTATAGCACCACAGTATAAAGAACAGACCGAGAGCCTGACACCATTGTGGCATCCTGGGTGGATTTCTCAGCCCTTGCTCTGGTTTCCCCCATTCATTGGGGAGAATCTCAGGCCCTGCCCTATGTGACATATCCATATGCTCAGAACAGTGTCTGGCAGGCAGTACTGACAGAGTAAGTGATGACTGTTACCACTGGGGAAATGGAGCCTTACTATATAGCTACAGAGCTGATACCAGCTACCCAGATGGACACACTGACAAATGCAATAGACAGACCTCAGGATGAAGATAACAAGCATGCCACAGATGGTGTTTATAATCCTGGCACTCACAAGGTAGAGGCAGGATCCTGAATCTGAGGCTAGCCTGGGCTACTATGGAAGACCTTGTTTTAAAAAGAAATTCAGTCCATTAGGCATAGGGTGAAATGCAGCTAAAATCAACACTAGTATGTTTTACCTACTCAATTCTTAAAAATCATTGTTTATGGCCTGCAGGCCAGGCTCATCAGTTTATCTTTTCTGCTCAAGACATTGACATTTGGGAGAGCTATCATAACTAAACCTGCATAGAAGTTCAGGTAATAGATCTTTGTGGGGGTGGGGAGGGGAAACCAGAGTTGCAGCCAGATTTTTAAAAAGCCTGCTGACCTTTCCCATTTCTTACAGGCCATGGTAGGGGTGTTTGGAAAGTAACTAAGTAAATGGTGGAAATCTACAAATATTGTCATGAAATTGGCTTGTCCCCTAATTTATCTTGAGATGTCCATCAGTATATGTGAAGCTGCCTTACTCTGGTTTATTCATTTACTATACAAAAGTCTATTGTATAGATGCACTATAACTTCTATAGTCAATTCCTAGTAATAGCATTTAGATAATCTGATTGTTTTAATACTGAGACTGTTACTATCATTATCTCACACATGTGCAAATATAATTGTGAGAAATTCCTTGGAAAAGATTTGCTAGGTCAAAGTATATACACATTTTTAACTTTTTTTTAATTTCATGGTGTGTGTGTGTGTGTGTGTGTGTGTGTTGCCTGTATGAATGTGTGTATATTGTGTGTGTGCAGGAGTCTATGGAGTTCGGGAGAGGGTATTGGATCTCTGGAACTGGAGTTACAGGTGGTTGTGTGCCAACATGTGGGTGCTGGAAACTGAACCTGGGTGGGTCCTCTACAAGGGCAGCAACTACACTGAACCATTTTTCTAGCCCCTCTATATAAAGATTTTTTTGTTTAGCTATTCTACCACTCCCCTTCCTTCCTCCAAATAAGCCCCACCTTACTACTTCCTGTCTCCTGTCTACAGTCCTCCAAACCTCTATGGTTAATTTCAGTCAGCTAATGGCTAGGTTGGCCCTCTGACTCCAAACTTTACTTGTCCAAACACAATCAAAATATCACACAACAGATTTTTATTTATTTTGATGTGTATATGTATACAGCATGTGTGCAGAGTTATGTATACCTCATGTGTGCAGATGTCACTCAACTGGGGTGCTGGGAACCAAATTTGATTTTCTAGAAAAGTAGTAAGTGCCCTTAACTGTTGGGCCGGCCATCTCTCCAGCCTCCTACATTTTTTTTTTTTTTCAAGACAGGATTTCTCTGTGTAACTGCCTTATCTGTCCTAGAACTCACTCTGTAGACCAAGGTGGCCTCAAGCTCACAAGGAGCCTCCTGTTTCTGATTCCTGAGTGCTGGGATTAAGGCGTGTGCCACCACTGCCCAGCACTTCCTACATTTTTAACTCTAAAAAGATATTGCCAGGATTGGAAAGTTAGCTCATTAGTTAAGAGTGCTTATGATTGCTCTTACAGATGACTCAAGTTCAATTCCTGGCACCCACTTGGTGGCTCACACTGTCTATAACTCCAGTCCCAGGGAATCTAACCCCTTCTTCTGACCTCGGGCGTCAAACATGAATGTCGTGCACATCCATACTCAAACAATAATAAGTCAAAATAAGCAGTTGGTTGTGGTGGTTCATGATGTCTGAAATCCCAGCAGTTGGGAAGTAGAGACCAGCCTAGGCTACATAGTGAGACTATCACAAAAAAAAAAAAAAAAAAAAAAAAAAAAGCAAGGGTTGGGATGTAGTGATCAATCACCAGCACTGAAAAACAAAAGTTTCCCGATTGTGCAGATTGTGCCTACTGTGTCAATAAGTAACCCTGTTAGCAGTACCAGAGTTGCCATCCCACCACTGCACAGAGAAAGCATCTCCAAACTCCACAAGGAGCTCTGGAACAGAAAGGCTTTGCAGCAGCCTGCACTCAGAAAAGACATGTAAGTTACAACTAAACCAAGGCACCACTTTTCACTTTCATAAAGGCAACCCTTTTTCCATTCTTCGTCTTCTCTATATTTTTAAATCATAATGCTGTGAGTCCCCTGTTCAAAATCTCCCAACAGAGACATTAAGAATAAAATTCCAAATAGCTCCCGAAGTTTACAGAGCAGGCCAGCCCTTAGCGACATCTGTCACTTCATCTCCTCCTCCTCTGTCATTTGCTCCACTACAGCCACTGATGCTCCTGTTACTTTCATTAAATACATCAATCATGCCATCACCTTGGGATCTTAGAATTGCTGTCCCCCTGTTGGCATCTACATGATGCTTCAGACTCATTTGAGGTCTCTCCCATGCCACTCTGTCACCTCACAAACACTGCTTCCTAACACCTGAACATCCTGTGTTGCCTGTCCTTCTTGTCCCTCAGCTGTGAGCTCTCAGTGGGTGGGAACACCCTTTTATCCAGTTTGTTCCTGGCACCCAGAACAGGGCTTGGCTCATGTCAGCACAGCAGGTGAGCTGTTGAAGAATGAATGGTTGCCTGGTTTTCCATCTTTTGTTAGGTTTATCTTTGGTGTTGCTGTCTAAACGAGATATTTTATTTTTGCACTGTTGTAAGTGGTATAGCTAGATGAATACTATTATTTTGTGCCAAGTAACCCTGATAAATTATCATTTTAAAGATAATAGATTTTCCATTGATCCTCTTAAATTCTCTACATAATACATATCATTTACAAATTGTCACTCAAGCTGGGCGTTGGTGGCTCACACCTTTAATCCCAGCACTCGGGAGGCAGAAGCAGGCGGATCTCTGTGAGTTCGAGACCAGCCTGTTCTATAAGAGCTAGTTCCAGGACAGCCTCCAAAGCCACAGAGAAACCCTGTCACGAAAAACCAAAAAAAAAAAATTGTCACACAATTTCATTTGTTTTTTTAATTTATCTTATTCTGTGGGAAACAGATTTTAGTACCTCTTTTTTTTTTTTTAAGATTTACTTATTTATTATGTATACAGTGTTCTGCCTGAATGTATCCCTGCACTCCAGAAGAGGGCACCAGACTATATTACAGATGATTGGGAGCCACCATGTAGTTGCTGGGAATTGAACTCAGGACCTCTGGAAGAACAGGCAGTGCTCTTAACCCCTGAGCCATCTCTCCAGCTCCAATTTCATTTGTTTTTATACCCTTCTTTTTGTCTGACTGCATTAGCTCATGTCTCTAAATGTTTTCAAAGTTGCCAAGGAAGTGTACATGGATTATCTCATTCAGTTAGCAGCAAGACAATTTTTTTTTTTAATTTCTTACTAGGATTTATTACTGATGGGAACTCCTTTCTTCTGGGCAATGTTTTGCTTCGCCAGATTCGAATTCCTAAAAGCATGCTCTTCCCGGCGTCTCTCCATGACCAAGTGAACTCACATCCCCAACATCAGGAGGACAGGGGGAACCATGGGGTTGGCTGGGGTCCCCCTGATACAAACATCACAGAAACGGACAGTATTTGGCATTATCAGAGTCAGGAGTTACTGGGAGGCTATCCCACCCAAGGGGAATTTGCCACTTACTCAGGAGGAGGATATGTTGTGAGACTTGGAAGAAACTCCAGTGCTGCAGCCAGGTGAGTCTGTACCCTGAACAAGGCCTGTCACAGGACAGCTGGACAGCTGGAAATTTGGACCCAGCTGAGACATTCCAACAGCTATTGTAATGCTTCTATACTGTCTCTGGTACTGCTTCTATTTTACACTTCTAAGGAAATAGACCATGTATTTTTTTTATTATTATTTGGTGTGCTTGGGTATTTTACTTGCATGTATGTCTGTTCACCACGTGTACAGTGCCCTTTAGAGGTCAGAAGATGATGTCAGACACCCTAACACTGGAGTTGAAACTGTTGTGAGCCACCATGTGGCTGCTGGAAACTGACCCTGGGTTGTCTGGAAAAGCAAGGAGTGCTCTTAACCACTGAGCCATCACACCAGCCCCAGGAACTACATCTTTAAATTTAAAAATTCCTTAGTCAACTTCATTATTGTTTTGTTGACTTGAAAAAAAAACAGATTGTTTTTAATCTGAAAAGAGATTTTAGTTTCAATTCTAGGGGTAGCTGAAATCAGGTGAATCTGTCTATTTTAGACACACTGTAATCTTCAAATAGAAATGGAAACATTACCCTTTGTGAACCATGATTTAAACATCAACCCAAAGTTCAAATGCCCAAACTAAATTGCCAAGGATTTGCGGATAATTTAATTCATGAATCCTGGGAATATTTTTCATTGTGAATGAAAAAGTGTAAATTAAAATAGTTGTTTTCTGAGCAGGCAAGCAGGCTCCTAAGCTAAGATGCTTGCCACAAAGCCTGGTGACCTAAGAGAACCCTAGGACCCACATGATAGAGAGAACTGACTCCTTCACGCGGTCCTTTGACCTCCATATATTCACAGTGACACACACACACACACCCTCAATAAATGTAACAGAATTTTTTAAAAAGCTTGTTTCAAAGTTCTAGCAGAAGAAATTGCTCGAAAACAATGTCAATCATATAATGGCATTTATACTTCTATACTTCTTTTACCTCTTGGTACTGGATAGGTGTTGGTACAGAGTATTTAATGTTTCAAATAGTAGTTGATGGAGCTCATGAAATTAATCCTACCTTGCAGATTAAATGCCAAATAGTGTTCCCTCAGTCTCTTAACCTTGGTGTGAGCAGGACTGTGAACACCTGGTTTCTAAGTTAACCATCCATGTTGTCACTGTGAGAGTTTGGGTGTTACAAGTCTTGAAGTAGTTTATAGGAGCCCGAAATCAAGCAATGTGGCTTCTCCTGTGGTCTGTGGCAGTGCCAGGGTACTGTCCTCCATGACAACCTTGGATGGAGAAAGTAGATGGCTCTGTTTCCCTGTGTCTCCAGAGTTCTTCGGCATCTGGAGCAGAGGCACTGGCTGGATCAGAGCACGAAAGTCCTCTTTGTGGAACTCACAGTCTTCAATGCTAACGTGAATCTTCTCTGTGCAGTGACCCTCATTTTGGAATCCAACAGTGTGGGTATGGAGGCCTCCTCTCCTTGCTCTGAAACCTGGCTGTCTCAGGTCAGGACAAGGCTTCCTTTACTGATTGTATACCATTCATTCACGTAGATTTAATTAGAATGATTTCTCAGAAGTATGATTTTTTTAAGTCAAATAGTTCAACTAACAGCCTATCTACCTCCTACTCCCTAGAGGCTACTTTGTTTTAATTGGTATTCAGCTTTTTATTATTTGTTTATTTGTTTCAAGACAGGGTCTCTCTACATATCCCTAGCTTTTGTGGAACTCACTATGTATACCAGGCTGGCCTCAAACTCAGAGCTGTCTGCCTCTGCTTCCCAAGTGCTGGGATCAAAAGCATGGATCACCATGCTGAGCTTTTCTGTTTTTTAAAGTGTTGTTTATTCATTGATTTTTTTTAGTTTTAAGTGTTACTTTATGCATAGAATTTAGCTTTTATGCTCATATGTCCCTAACATGTGCACACTTTTCATTTCCCAGTTTTCTTTCTTGCCTTCATTTTTGAGCTTTCACCATTGTCATAGTGGCATCTCACAGATGAATAGATGCTAATTGGTACTTTACCGAAAGTCAACCTCAATCCATCTCCCTTCCTCCTTCCTCCTCCACTTAGAATTGACTGGGAACTTTTCCCTCCTAGCAGCAGAACAAGCAACTTCTACCCTACTCTCTAAATCAGTGGTTCTCAACCTTCCTAATGCTTCAGCCCTCATGTTAATACAGCTCCTCATGTTGTGGTGACCCCCAACCATAAAATTATTTCATTGCTACTTTATAACTATAATTTTGCCATTGTTGATAAATCATAATGTAAATATGATATAGAGGATATCTAATATGTGACCCCCGAAGGGGTTATGCCCTACAGGTTGAGAACCACCATTCAAAATGAACCTGAAGTCTTCCTGAGGTTCTTTAAAGGGTTTGTTTAACGGCCAAAGAAATGGGGTGGAGCTTAAATCTTGAGATTTAGCTGTACAAAGTAAGAAAATTTTGTTCCTGAATGTACTTTCTACCTATCAGGGGTACATCTCAGTTCCAGTGATTCAGGGCTGGTATTCACAAGACTTTTCATAAAATTATGAAAATTTATAAAAAGCGTAAGTCTTCACATTCCTTCTGTCCTTTTAGGTCACATCTGAAACCTTGCAGTCCCTCCTCACATGAGCATCTCTGCATTCGTGGGATTGAGTACTTTCCATTCTCACCCCTGCAGCCACTCTAAGTTGAAAAGAGGAACACCTGTTATTACAGGTGGTAAGCCAATGGCCTGGCCCTTAAGCAGACATCAACCATATATAGTCTTTCTCTCTGCCAACTTTAGTGAAACTGACATTTCTCCATAGCTTGCCGTGATTCATTTAGTGTTCTGAACAGTTCTGCAGGAGATACTGACTAGAATGTGGAGACTGAGGTGTCTGCAACTGATGATTCAGCAACAGTTGGGGTTGCTTTATGAGAAGGAGAAAAGCTTAGATTGATTCCAATTGTTCCTTTTATCAGGGACTTTCTTCACCTCTCTGCAACTCGACAGTCTAACTTCCCTCCAGTCAGAGAGGAGCTTTGCTTGGATTACCTCACAAGTCAGCTACTACCTACTCGTCTGTTACTACACCTTCATACAGGTGAACTGGCTGCCACCAGGTGAACCCTCTCTGGAGGGGACCCATCATGCCATGGTGCTATAATTACAGTTGTTATTTCGGTCCTTCTTCAAGGCCTGGTTTCAGAGCCAGACTGATTAGTAGAATAGCTCACTCAATTCTGGCATGTCCAACACATGAGTCAGTTCTTAGACACAATATTTCATATAGTTTCTCTTTTAAAAAGTATTAATTTTATGTATGAATGTTTTGCCTGCATGTATGTATATGTACCACATGCCCATGGAATTCTGGTGTTGGCTCCCCTGGAACTGAAGTTACAGATGGTTGCTAATTACCATATGGGTACAGGGAATTGAACTCAGGTCCTCTGCAAGAACAACCAGTGCTCTTAACCACTGAGCCAACTCTCCAGGCGCTTTATGCAGTTTCTTAAAGTATGCTGGGCAAAACATACTAAAAAAATAGGAATTATTGTAAACAGTATTTTATTGTCAAACTTGATAAACGATGGAATTTTTAAAGCTTGTAAATTAGTTTAGTACACACAATAGTTTTATAATCTCCAAGAATGATTATTTTGATTAGCCACCAACTCTCCTGTTAGCAGTACCTGAGTGACCGCAGGGCAGCCCCACATCCACAGCCCATGTGCTTTGCCTGCCCAAGTCCCAGGTGGCCAGGCTACTTCTTAGGGGCTGTCCTGGCTAAACGACTGTGCTGTCTTTGCTCAGGGCTGCCGGCTGAAACGGCAGAGGTGGGGATTCCTCACTAGGAAAAGAAACCTTCTAGACACAAGCATAATCCTCATCAGCTTCATCATCTTGGGGCTCAACATGCAGCGCCTTTCTCTCCTTCATAAAAACATGCTGCAATACCGCCGCGACCAAGACAGGTAAGGGACCCGAGGCACACGGAGCATACCTACCTCATGCCTAAGGCTTCCTGATCACTGTCCTTCCTTCTCTTCCACTTCCCCACCAGATCTTCTGTACTCGAATAATGAAAGTTGATACGGGTTCCATAGTGTAATGGTAAGCACTCTGGACTCTGAATAATGAAAGTAAAACTAGAACTTGGACTTGTGCCCGTGGCAGAAAAAAAAAAAAAAAAGCTTTACTAAGACATTTGTACAAGCCCTGCTGAGGGGCTCTGTGGTGCTCTGGTGTCCATGGAAGATAATGTATTTACATTTCAGAGCAAGGGCTTAGAACTGGAGTTTCTTTGTGTGCATAAAGCCTAAGATGAGACAAATATTATCCTTAAAAAGGATACAAACTCGGGGCTGGAGGGATGGCTCAGAGGTTAAGAGCACTGGCTGCTCTTCCCGAGGGCCTGAATTCAATTCCCAGCAACCGCATGGTGGCTCACACCCATCCCTTATGAGATCTGGTGCCCTCTTCTGGCCTGTGGGGACACATGCATATGGAACATTTTATACAAAATAAATAAAAAAATTTTAAAAAAAAAAAAAGGATACAAACTCAGTACTACACAGCTTTCCAACAAGAAGTGGCTGTTTTCAGGCATTATTTTCTATTCCCCATATGAGACTTTTGAGCACTTTTAGATCTAGTATGTCCACAGCTAAGGGCTTGAGCTCTAAACCCTTTCCAAAGCACTGTCCCAGGTAACTTTATGATGAACTGTCTACACTGGGATAGTGGGCCATGTAGCCCAAAAGGTTGTATGTAGCAAAGCTGAGTGAGCTCCAGGCTGTTGTGTGGCATTTCCTGGGCCAGTGATTCCCAACCTTCCTAATGCTATGTGACCCTTTAATACAGTTCCTCATGTTGTGGTGACCCCCAACCATAAAATGATTTTTGTTGCTACTTCATAACTGTAATTTGCTGCTGTTATGAATCACAATGTAAATATTTTTGGAGCTAGAGGTTTGCCAAAGGTGTCATGACCCATATGTTGAGAACTACTGGCTTAGGCCTTAGGCAACAAAGGATCTGTGGTTACCAACTTGCTTATAGTTTACAGGAGTCTCTCCAAGTAACTGGTTGCTATGATATACAATTACATACTTCACATAACAAAACTGAACTTCGGGACAAATCTCTCACCTCTTCTTATTCTCAGTACTATGACAGCTCACCGGTGTCTCTACTATCACAGAACATAGGAGTAGTAGAAACAAACCAGGATGACAGCACGTCTCCTTAAGCTAACTCTCTGTTTGAGAGACTCAGCACCAACAACAGTGGAGGCTGGTCCTCATATCTAGGATCAATCTGAAGGAAAGAAATCAGCTAGGAGCTGCCTTGAAAGGCTTTTCAAGATAGCTCTCAGCCAAGGTGCCTTTTGTTGTTTTCATACTGTTTCTGGGGCCATGCTAGAAAGAAGTTTTCATTGCAATGGGTGTTTGACCTGGTGGAACTCAGCCGCTAACCTTCTGCTGAGAAAGCCCTGGTGAGGCTGCTGACAAGTGATGGCAGTTCTTGCTTCGTGCTGAGTAATGGCCAGTCTTTCCTTGGTGATAGGTTCATCAGTTTCTGTGAGGCACTGAAAGTGAACTCAGCTGTCACTCACCTCATGGGCTTCCTGGTTCTGCTGGCAACTGTGCAGCTGTGGGACCTACTGCGACATAATGCCCAATTGCAGGTCATCAGCAAGACACTGAACAAGGCCTGGGATGAGGTGGTGGGCTTTATACTGACCATCATGATCCTGCTGAGCAGCTATGCCATGACTGTAAGCCTGAAGTCCAGCATCTTCCCCAAGTGCTGAGTCCTGTCTGTCTGCTCAGAAAAGGCCACTGGACATAAAACCATCAGATTACAGTGGGGTTCAGAGAAAAGTCAGCTAGGAAAGCTGGGTTAAGTCATGTTCCACATTTAATGTTTTTTAAAGATTTTAACTTTTTTAGATTTATTTCTATTTTATGTACATTGGTATTTTCACTGCATGTATGCTTGTGTGAGGGTGTCAGATCCCCTGGAGATGGAGTTGCTGATGGTTGTGAACTGCCAAGTGGGTGCTGGGAATTGAACCCAGCTCTTCTGGAAAAGAAGCCAGTGCTCTTAACCTCTGAGCCATCTTTCCAGCCCTATATTTAATGCTTAAACCCAGATGTTTGTGATATTTCTAAGATACAAAGTGAGGTCAGAGATCAGATAAACTTTGTAGTCATAGTGACTTGAATGGCCACAGGGAAATCTCCTTTTTTTTTTTTTTTTTTTTTTTTTTTTGGCCATATCAAGAACCTCAGAGCAGAAATGCTATTACCAATGACTGGCCTTTCTCTTGTTCAGTTCAACCTGCTGTTTGGATGGAGCATCTCTGACTACAGGAGTTTCTTCAGCTCCACAGTGACTGTTGTTGGCCTCTTGATGGGGATTTCTAATCACAAAGAGGTAAGACAGGCAGGCAGGCACGACAGAAGCAGCCTCATTTCCTTTCAGGTTCACTTCATGTTTGGCTTAGCAGCTTTAACTGATGGGATGGGATGGTTGCTTGTTAAGCAGCCGCCCACTGCACAAGCTAAGGTGAGAACCTACATCCTTTGCCCTTGTATCAGAGTAACGCCTGTGTAGGACACCACACTACTCACCAGCTATCCTCTTCCCCCCATACCCTCATTCTACTGTCAGAGGACACTTGGCCAGAACAGCACAAGCCGCTGGTGCTCTCAAAGGCAGAAGTAACCAAAGGTAGTGCCAGAAAGAATAGTTCTTTTTACAGTTAACACACATGCTGTGGAATATTAATCTAAGATGTGTTTGCATTTGTTTATGCTGTGAAATATTTGTGTAATGGTGCAAAGATGTGTTGCATTCTTTTATGTTGCATTTAACTTTGTAAATGTTAACTGTAACTGTGAAAACTGTAACTCTGTAAAAGTAACTGTGTTACTTTGCCTGTCTAAAACACCTGATTGTTCTAATAAAAAGCTGACTGGCCAACAGCTAGGCAGGAGAGGGATGCTTCGGGCTTCCAGGCAGAGAGAATAAATACAAGGAGAAATCTAGGCTTGAAAAAAAGAGCCAGGAGTGAGAAAAGGAGGAGAGGAGGATGCCAGGGGCCAGCCACCCATGGAGTAAGAAGGAAGAAAAGATACATAAATAAAGGTAAAAAGTCCAGAGGCAAAATGTAGAAGAGAAACAGGATCATTTAAGTTAGAAAAGCTGGCTAGAAACAAGCCAAACTAAGGGTGGACATTCATAAATAAGAATAAGTCTCCGTGTACTTATTTGGGAGCTACACACACACATCTTGGTGAGTTTACTCCTTCCTCACCCACATAAATCCCTGTCTTCTTATATTACATAGAGGACAAGGTACTTCACAAAAAAAAATATATTTCAGGTAGGTATACTGGTTAGAACATTAAGATAATTATTTAAAAGGCATACAGTAACATAATTTTATAGAAAAATATGTGAACAAGGTGAAGGGGAAACTTCAAATAGGCATCTTCGGAGGAAATGGGTCCTAATATTGAAGGGCTTATATGATCAGGAAATTAGTATAACTAGTAAGACTTGTACAATTAATCACTCTGAAGACCCTTTGTCTTATAGTCAGGGTTTCTATTGCTGTGCTCAAACACCTTGAACAAAAGCAGCTTAGGAGGAAAGGATTTATTTGGCTCACATACCCTCACAGACCTGAACTCAAGCCCTGCAGGAACCTGAAGGCAGGAGCTGATGCAGAGCCTATGGATTCTGCTTACCAGCTTGCTCCTCATAGCTTTGCTCAGCCTGCTTTCTTATAGAACCCAGGGCCACCTGCCCGGAATGATACCACCCACAACCTTCCCACAGCAACCACTAATTAAGAAAACACCAACCAACCAGACCAATGACTTTGCAATGAACACTTGCAAGTAAAGATATATGAACAAAAGGATATACTGTGTGACTCACTGTGTCACAATACAGCTTCTGTGGCAAGATTTTCTTTTTTCTTTTAAATTTTATTTTGTGGGGGTTGCAAGGGCAGAAGGCAGATACGAAGGGACGGAGAGATGAATGGTATGGAGATGCATGATGTGAAAGACACAAAGAATAAATAAAAAGTCAAAAAAGGAAGGAAGGAAGGAAGGAAGGAAGGAAGGAAGGAAGGAAGGAAGAAAGACAGAGAAAGTGCTCTCCAAGGCTTGCCTATAACCTAACCTAATCTTATGGACGTATTTTCTAAATTGAAGTTCCCTCCTCTCAGATGGCTATGGTGTGTGTCAAGTTGACATAAAATTAGCCAGCATCCCAAAGATGCAACTGCTATTTGCTATACTGTTGTTATGGCTGTAGCTCCATTCACAAGGGGATGAGTCATTGGTTAACAGGCCTTAGTAGCAACAATGAACAGGCCAACACCAAAAAACCAAAACCAAAACCAAAAAACCCACCATTTGTTAAAAAGAATACCTTAAAATGCTAAGTATAGAAACTATCCTAGTAAGGCCTGAATTTACAAAGATCTATGCAGAAAAGCAAAAAAGGACTTAACTATCAGTACTCACAGCTTACAAGACCATAGTGAGAGAAAGCATAGTAAGTCAGTTTCCCTCTTCTTTCCAAAGCCTTGAAAACTCTACCACAGCTGCCCCAGCCAAAAGCCAGTTTTCCTACCTTTTACTGGAAGACTCCCATGTCCAGAGGAGCTTCTCAAATGGCAGACAGGTTTTAGGATCCCTTCTGATATGCTCTTATTCTTCCCACATGTATGTTACTCCAAGCTTCCATGTTTATAGACATATTTTGTTCAGAATTGCTACTTAGCTGAGATTTGTTACTTACCTGGTTTTTCTTGTAGAAGCTGTGGAATCACATTTTAATATCCTTATTCATGTTCTTTCCACTTAAAAGTATTTTCCTTTCAATCTTCTTTGTTTCTTTCCCTAGTTTCATCAGATTCAAACATGTGCTTAGAAATAAATCCCAGATGTTAGCACAGGTTGCAAACTCCAAGAGGCCTTACTGTCTTCCCAGGTTATCGCTCTATACCCAATCCTCGGCTCCTTTCTGGTCCTCACTGGCATCATCCTGATGGGACTTGTGATCATTAATCTTTTTGTTTCTGCCATTCTCATTGTCTTTGGAAAGGAAAGGAAGGCCCTTAAGGTGAGTAACTGGCCCAGCAACTGAACAATTACCTGTCAAGATTTCCTGTAACTGGAGAGCTTAATGATGCTTTAAGACAGTGGTTCTCAACCTTCCTAGTGCCATAACCCCTTAATATAGTTCTTCAGGTTGTGGCCACTACCCCCACCATAAAAATTATTTCATTGCTACTTCATAACTATAATTTTGTTACTGTTGTGAGTCGTAATGTAAATATCTGTGTTTTCCAGTGGTCTTAGGCAACCTGTGAAATTATTTGACCTTAAGGAGGTCTCGACCCACAGGTTGAGAACCACTGGTTTAAGACTACAGGTATAGAGGCACACATCTGTAATTCCAACATCTGGAAGCAGAGCTAGGACTCAGAGTTCAAGGCCAGTCTGGTTTACGCAGTTAGGAGCCCATGACATTACAAACTGATGTGATGCACAGAATCAGTGCATTCCCTTTAGTGGTCTCAGTTCCTTTCCTAGGAAAATAAACTGCCAAGACATAACCAGGTGGTCTCCAACCATTCAGTAGACATTCCCAACATCTCACAGTAAACCATTTTTAGTGTCTTTACTATTTACTATGTATTTATGGGGTAGTTTGTAGGTTATCTTTGGTACTTTCACCTACTCTCGGGTCACTTACTTTTCTCTTTTTGTCTTCAAATACTCAGAAAGAAGCTACTCTGACAGATATATTACTACAAAAGCTCTCAAGTTTGTTGGGAATTCACCAGCACCAGAAACCTTCATCTGAGAAGCAGGTTGACAACACTGGGTATTGACCTCTGAGTCTTAAAATGAACTATCTTAATCTCATTATCACCTAGCATAGCTTATGTTTTACTGTATTATTGATAACACTTTACATTTCATACAGAAGTACCACACTTAGTGTTAGTGAAGATTCTAAATCCCATTATCATACCCTAAGTACATAGCACAAACCAGCTACATTGACAACCAGCAGGTAACAGAATGCTCATCACTCATGCCAAGAGTGAGCTCAACTGCAGCTTACTAAAAATAGAGTAGCAGACAAGCAAATTCATAGATGCTACCTGCTCAAATCCAGGAATGGAAATGAGCCCCAACAGCTCCTGATGCCTGCAGTCCTAAGGGAGAGGAAAGTGAAGGCTGGATCTGGCTTGTAGACTAATATGGTCACCTAGGTAAAATATTCTCCACTAAAATCCATTCATTTGACCAACACTAGAGAAAGCAGAACATGAGATCTTTATTAGCAGCCACTGAGCTATGAGACAAATCAATCAAAAACAATGAAGTTGCTTGAAACAGGTATATACAGAAATATTATACATAAGCAAAAATCTCATCTTCCAGTCCCAAAGCTAACCTCTTGGAAGGGTGGCCTTGGCTAAGGAGCCAAGATGCACATAAGTTACTGTAATGAAGAATCACAACCACCCAGGAAAGCAGTGAGCTACAGCCACATGGCACTAAAATTTAAGGTATCAGTTTGTAAAGATTCCCTTAATCATAAAAGTTTTCCAATGAAGAAATGTACCCCTCTTTTCCTGTAGGCTTCCAGATCTCTACCCAAGAGACTTGAGTACTTCTATTAAGGCAACTGGAAGCCCACCCTAAGCTTGGGTAGAGACCTATGCTTCTCTCCTAACATGCTATGGGAAAAAACAAGTTTCTATAGTGCTGCTCTTTCCTAAAAGGGAAACACAGCACTCAAAATAAAGCAAAAGGCCACAGAGGGCTCCCTGAGAATCCAGTAGAACTAAGAGAGAACTTTTCCAAACAAACTTTGCAACTGGATCCAGGTGGAACAGTGCCCTGCAGCAAGGAGTAGTGTGTATGTCAATGAGAGGGTCCTGCCTCCAGGAACCGTGACAGTGGCTTCCTGAGCCATCTAACTCATTTGAGAAAACACATGGTGGCCTTGATTCTCTCTATAATCACCCCCATGCAGAAGGATGCATTTACAAGACAAGGTTGAGACATATCATAGGGTAGTCTCTTCCATGGTCCAGCCATCTTTGGCAACTCTACCCACAATACTTCTCTTCTCACTCCTTTGGGAATGGAATGGCCAGGAGTGAACCAAGGATCCATGTGACAGAAAGACAGGTGAACAGCCACCAGAAGCCAGCCAGAATCTCTAGCTGTTAGTCTCTCATTATCACTAGAGAACTGGAAAGCAACACAATTGGTAGAGCAGCAAGAGCCCCAAGGAAGAGTGCTCAGTGATGGTTAACAGATGAAACGGAATTTCATAGAGATTCACTGTTATAAGGAAGAACTATGCAGTCTCAACTTCCAGACTGTGGATATTGCCTGCTTTAAGAAACCTATGTTTTCTTTTTCAGTTCCTCAAACCTCCGGGAAAGATCATCAAAGTCTATGTCCTCTGATGCAGAGGTACTGGCTCCAGCAGATGCTGTTGGGAGTGTGTCTGGCACAGACGGCAACTCTGGCAGTACAAAGTTGTTGTAATTATCCATGGGTCTGGAAGGGGGCTTTGCAGGAGCTTCTGGCTTGGGTCCTAATTAAACCAGGGCAAACAGTACAACGTTACAAATAGCAGAGAAATGACTCAGTCATCCTTTGACAAAACCACCACCCAAAACCCCACAATCCCTTTTGGCAGAGGACAAAAAAAAAAAAAAAAAAAAAAAAAAAAAAAAAAAAAATCAAACTGCAAGAGAGGCTCAATTGGCAGAGTATTTGCCTAACATACACAAAGTTCTTGGCTTTACTCCAGCACTGCATACAACCAGGAATGGTGGTTTACGCCTATTATGGCCAGTACTAGGAAGGTTGAAGCAAGAGGATAAGGAAGTCCAAAGTCATTAATACTGATACTATTTGATGTAATGGTCTATTCTGTATAAAGCCTTCCCCCTTCTCTTTCAATGTTGAAGATCAAATCCAGGGAGTTGCACATGCATGGCAAATGACCCACCACTGAGCTTATGGCTCCAGCTTCCCAGTGCTGGTATTAGAGATGCACCACTGCACCCAACTTCTCTAGCAGCACTTCACTTCTTAACTTATTGAACAACGACATAAACATGCTTACTTTATGAAAATCCACCCTTATTGTTTGTGCCTATTTTACCTCTGTGCTGGCTAGTTTTATATCAACTGGACACAAGCTAAAATCATTTGGGAAGAGGGAATCTCAATTGAGAAAATACACCCACCAGATTAATGAAAGAGGCCCAGCACTGTGGGGACAATGCCTTCCTTAGCTAGGTAGTTCTGAGTGGTTCAAGAAAGCAAGCTAAGCAAGCCATGAGCTTTCCTCCATGGCTTCCACTTCAGTTCCTGACTCCAGATTCCTGCCCTAACTTTGACAATGGACTGTGATGTGGAAATGTAAGCAAAATAAACCCTTCCTCCAGTTGCCTTTGTTTATTTGTTTGTTTGTTTGCTTGCTTGTTTTTTGAGACAGGGCTTTGGAGCCTGTCCTGGAGACCAGACTGGTCTCAAACTCAGAGACGCACCTGCCTCGGCCTCTGCTTCCCAAGTGCTAGGATTAAAAGCGTGCACCACCACCTCCCGGCTCAAGTTGCTTTTGATCAGGGTGTTTTATCACATCGATAGAAACCTAACCAACACACCAAAAAAATAGTCTCTTCAAAAAACAGCTAGGGTTGGGGACTGGAGTGATGGCTCAGTGATTAAAAGCTCTTCCAGAGGGTCAAGCACCCACATGGCCATTCACAACTGTCTTAACTCCAGTTCCAGAGGATCCAATACTCTTTTTGGTCTCCAGGGGCACAGCATGCATATAAGCATAGACATAATACAACCATATACACAAAATAATAAAATTTTTTTTTAAGTGAGGGAGGGCTGGAGAGATGGCTCATGCATTAAGAGCACATGCTACTCTTCCATAAGACTCAAGTTCAACTCCTACCACCAAAGTCAAAACCACCTGTCAAGCCAGGCTGCCCCCCCCCCCCACACACACACACGGCAGGCCTTTAATCCCAGCATTTGAGAGGCAGAAGCAGGTAGATCTCTGAGTTTGAGGCCAGCCTACAAACTGACTTCCAGGACAACCAGGGCTGTACAGAAAAACTCTGTCTTGGAAAAACAAAAAAATGGGAGGGAGGGGGAGGGGGAGGGAGAGGGAGAGGGAGAGGGAGAGGGAGAAGGAGAAAAAACCATAACACTACAGCCCCAGGAGGGTCCTCCAGCCTCCACAGGGACCTGTAATCACGTGTACAAACCCACAAACATATACATACTGAAAAATAAAACTGTATCTTTAAAAAAAAACTTAGGTGACTAAAAATAAAACATAGAACTTGGAAGATCGGGGATAGGGAAAATATTTTGTTTCAAAGTAAGAAGTTCTGAGTTCTGTGTTAGACACATTACACTGAAAGGAGGACATGGACCATGGATGGAATGCCATGACCATGGAGAGAGGAATAGGAAGAGAAGAAGGTTCAGCAGCCACAAAGCTTTCTGAAACACTCACCAACAATCTGTGCAGAAGAAATATTTTTATCACCATTAATGTCATCAACCTGTAAAACACAGATTGTTACCAAAGGAAAAGATAGTAAATGACATCTCTAGACAAAGTATTGATACTGGTACCAGCTCCTGTGTTTTCCAAAAGCTAAGCTGTTCACCAAAAGCAAAAAAATGTGCTCCTAGGAAAATGCCTCCTAGTCTCTCCATGCTTCCCTGAACCACACAGACACCATGCCAACCTCTGAACTGTTAAGCATAGAAAGGAAACCACACTGTGACACTTTTCAGCTTCCAGGTAAAGCAAACTAGTAAATCTACAAGAAACAAGGCCCTTGATAAAAGATCCACCTCATTCCATGAACAGTTGGCCATGTTTTGATACATGGAATACTAAGCATGAGAAAGACTCAGTTTCAGGAGAAAACACATTAGCTAGAGATGAAAACCACTGGGAAGAATGATAAGCAATCTAAGGATCAGGGAGAGCTTCTTAGGTGAGCAATTTACATAGCAAATTCCATACCAACTTGTTTTCTAAGTAAACCTAAGCTGGAAACAGCTCTCAATGGGTTGGTATGTATATGTAAGACTGGCAGAACACAAGTAATTGTGAAGCAGAGCTGCTGTTACAAAGAGCTCAAGGCATCTTTACTACATGAGCCATTTACACAACTTACCCCAAACCCCCAAGCACTAGGGGACTGCACCTGAGGCCTCCCACATGACAGACATACGCCTTACGATTGAACTACTTCCCAACATTTTTTTACTTTTTATTTTGAAACAAGGTCTTATATTTGTGATCTATTTGCTTCAGCTCCCAAACCTGTGTCACAGGTTTGCTCTTCCTATTTTTTAACTGTAAGAAAATGTGAAACCAATGCTACAGCCCCAAAACAACTAACTGGACACTTTTAGTTAAGTCAAATACCATTACCACTTCCCCATGAGTGTTAAAAACTTAAAAAACTGATATTTTAATAAATATATTCTAATATATTAGAGTGGCCCAATATGATTCTCAGACTATAAAAAAAAAAAAAAAAAAAAAAAAAAAAAAAACATATATCTAGATTAAATGCTCTAGTAGGACACTACAACTTTCTTTTTCACATTTTTTTAGATGGGCTCATGTAGTCCAGGCTGACCTTGAACTCCTGATCCTCCAAAGTGCTGAGACTACAGGCATGTGCCACCATGCCCATGAGTACTGTAACTTCCTAGGAGCAGCTCCTTCCTGATTCCTGGCTTCAGTGCTGACATAGCATGCCCACCACAAATGCCACCAACAGTACTCCCCATCTCCAGGGCAGTATGAAAGCAACAAAGAATCCCAAAGCAAGAGCAATACCCATACTAAGTTGATCAAAAGTTTGCCTTCCCTGTTGTTATTATTTTGCTCTCTTCATGGGATTCATTCTCCTGCCGTTTATCAAAGAGGCTCAGGCACTTACAGATTCATACGATGGGGGAGTTGCTGGTATCTGAGGTGGGTGAATGTTAGGGAAGGCCTGGTAAGTCCCCACTGGCAATCCACTGAAATCCGACTGCAAGAGAAAAGCAGTATCAGAAACACTGCTCCCAATTTGTAATGTCTGTATGGGATGGGAAGAAATATGTGTGAATACACACAGTATGTATGTATGTATGTATGTATGTATGTATGTATGTATGTATATAAAGATCCTCAAAGGAAAGAAAGGCTCAAAAAGATCACATGTGGTCAGAAAACTACAAGCTTAAAGATCTGCAAGGGTTATTTCTCAAATTACTACATCAAGTGATTCTATGTCTGTCTCCAAAGAAAAAATTCAATCACTTTCACCTTAGAAATAACCTACTGTAAAACCAACATCCTGTCAACAAAGATTTTTCATCCTGGTAATAAAGGGAAGTCTTCATTTTCAGAACCAAAACAAACAAAATTACTGGCATTACTGCAACAGGTACCCATGAGTTTAGTAACCTTTTCCTACCACTATATTTACATTTGTCTACTTAAGTACTTAGAGCAGAAGCCAAGGACTTCCCTCAATCTGATATTGTTCCTCAATACACGTTTGGTTACTCAGCGAATACAAATATTCTTATTGTTCTGTATTCCTGGCAACCTACAATTCCTCAGTGTGTTTATAGAGCCCATATGTCCTCTTCTGCAACATTTTCTAAAGCTTACGTCCATACTATCTTTATATGCACATACTTACTGGTCCCTTTGGCAGTGGATATGAGAAGGGAGCATTTGGAGATGGCATGGGCATGGGCATGGGCATAGGCATGGGCACTGGCACTGTTCCATCAGGTCCACCAACAGGGGCTGTGAACCCGCCCCCGCCTCCTCTTCCAGGACCACCTTTCTTCACATCATCTGTAAATCCAACATCAATAAGGTCTGTCTCCACCCCAGTAGGAGCTTCTGCCTAAGAAAAAGACACAAGCACATAATCCATGTCCACAACCACGTTCCCTAGGAAAGTCTAGGGACACGGGACACGACATACACATAAGCATAAAAGTTGTTTGCTCTGGAGTGCTCACAGCATCAGCAAGCACCTGCAAGAAGAGTGAAGGAAGTGGGGAGAACACTACACTGAATGCTCCACCACAGCCTCAGACAATTCCCCAGGAAAAAAGGAAGTCTACAAAGGTCTCCACGAGAAGGAAGAGGACAGAATGTAGAGAGTTTAAAACTCCCTGTCCTGGCCACATTCGGGAAGAAATTGGAAAGAACACTTTCTTCCACAGAGGGCCAGCTCTGAAGGAACACTCAGGTATGTGAGCTTCCATACACTAACACTCCTAAAAGTGAAGGAAAATACTGCAGTCTGTCCCGGGGGTGTTTGTGTGCTGGAGGTTTGGTTACCACACCATTAAATTTAACTGTTGAATCATTATATTCAGGACAGAGAATTTGTTGTACATGTATCTCTACACTCAGCTTTTTGACCACTACCTGCACATAGCACAATAAATAAACTATGTAGTGTACTTGGTATTTTTTCAATGTTTGCTCTTTGGGGGCTCACCACCCAGCTCCCACATAAATAGAGACTTATTCTTACTTATAAATGCCCAGCCTTTGCTTGGCTTGTTTCTAGCCAGCTTTTCTTAAATTATCCCGTCTACCTTTTGACTCTGGGCTTTTATCTTTCTCTATTCTATATGCCTTTCTTTACTTCTTATTCTGTTGCTTGCTGAGTGGCTGGCCCTCCTCTCCTTCTCCTTTTCTCCCTCCTTCCTCTCTTCTCATTCTCCTTATTCTCTCTGCCTGGCAGCCCTACTTATCCCTCATCCTGCCTAGCTAATGGCTGTTTAGCTCTTTATTAGATCTATCAGGTGTTTTAGACAGGCAAAGTAACACAGCTGCACAGAATTAAACAAATGCAACATAAAAGAAAGCAACACATCTTTACATCATTAAACAAATATTCCACAGCATAAATGAACATTTAAAATATTCCACAACAATGTAGGTCTTGGGATATTGCTATGTACAAGGGGATTATCAATTTCTTCAAGCTCCATGAAAGGCAAATTTAACATGCTTTTATGTTTCTGTCAAGGCTGTGCATTCTCAATCTCATTCATTAAGTGCCCTGTGAGATTTGCAGGTATATTTATTGTTAAGAAGGTACAAGCTGAACAAAGGCTTACACATTTCAACTCAGCTAGTATAAATAATATACACACACACACACACCAGAAGTCCTACACAGAGACTCATTTTCTTTTGTGCTCTGGTATAAACTTACCATGACCACAGAGTCAGGTTCATAGGGTACATTGTAATTCTTGGCAATTTCAATCAGGTATCTCTCCACTAGGATTTTGGGTGGAGCTTCTACACTCAGTTTGTGCATCAGCTGTAATAAAAGATCATGTTAAGAAGCATCTATCTGTACAACCAGCCTAATCCTAACCTGTTTCTTTTTTAAAAAAGAATTAATTATTCTCATTTTATGGGTAAAATTAGAGAAGATCAGAATAAAGATGAACTATGTTTTTTCCAGTCAAAAGGCACATTACAGGACTCATGCTTTCTTCACACTCTCTAGCTATACATGAGACAGGTACCAAGAAAAGATTCAACATTAATGCCTTCCCCATTTCACTCATCCAACCCTTCTTTCCACTCTCCTTCCTGCCTTCCTAACTCACAGAAGATGGAAAAGCAAGCACCACAATCAGGTGTTGGGCAGGGGAAGATCCAGACTGCACTGCCGGCCACACAGTCATCCTCTGACCTTCACTATACTATAAAATACATCCCTCAACTGACTCAACCATGAGCCTACACAACTCAATCCCCTGCTTGTAATAAAACTACCTCTCCCACTAGGTCCTATTTACCAGGTATGTTCATTACCCTATCATTCACAGTCCCAATCTGGTTGGTCCTGCACAACTTGCCATATTCCTTGCTATATTTAGCACAGAGCTGATCAGCAACCTACAAAAAAGAAAAAGAAAATTATAACAGAAACCATTCCCAGGAACAGCTTCACACTTCTTCCTATCAACATTAAACATATCATTATGACTGGGTTTAAAAAAACAATGCCTATAAAACCTTGGTAAATATACATTATTTATTCATCTATCCAGAAAGCAACAATCTAAGTCCAAACACTATCATTACACAAAATAAATACTATAAATACAACAATGAACTGAGCAAGATGGCATACACCTGTAATCCCATTAACTAGGGAATTAGAAGCAAAAGGATCAGTTCAAGGCTAGCCTGGACTACAGGAGACCTTTTCTCAAAACTCCTCTCCCATCCTCAAAAAATAGTAATTTGATGAGGAACAAAAATAGACATTATTCCTACTTTCGGGGAGTCTTATAATCTCTGTGCAAAATAATAATATTATTAATAAAAATAATCCAATAAAGGTCTACCTGCAGCTAGGTCCATGTATACAAATAAGGTTAAGCAACAGAATAAGCAAATATAACATATAAAGGTTTTCTCCCCACCCCCTTCTTTTTGAGACAGGGTCATGCAATGTAGCCCAGGCCGGCTTCTACTCATGCACTCTTGCCTCAGCCTCCAAAGTACTACAATTATATGCACAGACCACCACACCCAACTAAAAAATAATTTGAGAGAAGCCTGTTAGTGGTGGGATAGCCTTATTCCCAGCACTAGGGAGGCAGAGGCAAGCGGATCTCTGAGTTTGAGACAGAGCAAGTTCCAGGACAGCCAGAGCTACACAGAGAAACCCTGTCATGAAAATAAAAACATAAAATAAAAAAATTTAAGACACAACAGTTGGCACATAAATCTGCCTTTTAGAAAGTTGTTCAAATTCTCAAAACAATGTTCTATACCATAAAGATCTGAAAAGGAGTAACTACTTAATAAAGCCTATTTCAAAACCAGAAGGTACAAGATACCCAGTCAAATAATCAGACTTTTCTAATATTATCAAAAACTACAGAGGCTGGCCATGATGGCACATACCTTTAATCCTAGCACTCAGAGGCAGAGGCAGAGGAGGGTAGATTTCTGTGTGTTCCAGGCCAACTAGAGTGACACAGTGAGACCTTACATAAAACAAAAGCCTACAGACATTACAGAAATTGCTTGTACTCACTATTTTCAACTCAGCCACTTCTGACTGAAGCCGAGGAGCAGCCCATATATATATATATATATATATATATATATATATATTTTAACATCTTTTAAAACCAACAAAATCATAGTTTTTATATCATATACCAGAAGGCCTCCAAACCTATTTCACAAATTATACTGGCTTCTGGTAATTGGCATTCTAGCTTTTCATTTCCCTATTTTGCTTCTGGAGAAACAAAAACTAAGTGACATGCCCAAGTCCACAAAACCTCACACAAGCTGAACCTGGACTTCAGATTCTGAATCGGACTTCAGATTCTGTTTTCTTTTCACTAATAGGCAAAAAGATCCTTGGGAATGTGAAGTAACCTCTTAGTGTTAGTCTACTGCAGATACATGTAGACTGAGATAGTATTACTCCATTCTCAAATTCCAGATTTGTTTAGCCTCTGAGGCAAGATATCTTACTTCATAGACTGGATAAGGCCAAACCGAGCCAGCAGCAGGTCACAGTACAGCTCCAGGATCTCCATGGCCTCCACAAGGTAGTCCTCCCGGATAATGTGCTCCACACGGATTCGCGCTCGCTCATCCTTTCCAGCGGCCAGATAGTCAGCAATCTCCTTCCTTGCTTTCTGAGCCAGTTCCGCTGGGACACAAACCCCATTCCAGTCACACAGCAGTGATGTACTGGAACCTGGCCAGTAGGCAGACTTCCACCCGACAGAGAAGACTGACAAGATTCTTGATGTATGTAACCTATAGTATCCTAGAGCTCCCTTACACATCTACTCTCATCATAACCGCTCTAGAATTCACCCTACATAGATGAAACTATGACATAGGCTGACACTTCCAACTCAGAAGGGATAAACTAAGTATCCAAGAGGGATTTGTTCCAGGATACCTATGGATACCACAATCAGAAGGCTCAAGTGCCCCGGACATATAAAATGGTACAGAATGGAGAGATCATTTATGCTTAGTCTCCTGTATACTTTAAACCATCTCTAGATTACTTATACTGCCTAATATAAATGCTATGTAAATGACTGCTACAATATATTATTTTGGAATAACAATAAGAAGTCTGTACATACTCAATACATTGGCATTTTTCCCTCTCAATATTTCTGATCAGCATTTGTCTGAATGCACACATATGGAACCCATGGATACAGAGATTACAAATACAGAGTGGTCAGCATTACATCCTCTTCTGTGGTGGTTTGAAAGAAAATGGCCCCCAAAGGAGTGGCACTATTAGGAGGTGTGGCCATGTAGGAGTAGGTGTGGTCTTGTTGAAGGAAGTGACTGTGGAGGCGGGCTTTGAAGTCTCATATATGCTCAAGCCATGTCTAGTGAGACAGACCACTTCTTGCTGCCTGCACTCTCAGCTACCTCTACAGCACCATGTCTGCTTACACACTGCCCTGGCCCACCATGATGATAATGAACTGAACTTCTGAACTGTAAACCACCCAATTAAATGATTTCTTTATAAGAGTTGCCATGGTCATGGTGTATCTTCACAGCAATAGAAACCCTAACTAAGACACCCTGTCTGCAACAAAGTGCTTCAATTTAACTATATACAAGAGGCAGACATGTATCCTAACTGCCAAGCTATATGAGAAAGACTCCATAGTACTAGCCTGAAAGATCCAGCTTGGGATGTTGGTAGCTAGTTTAAAAAAAAAAGGGGGGGGCCGCGGGTCATGATGGGACACAATACTCACTTTTTTTTTTCTCCAACAGTTTAAGACGATTTATGACTAATCTCAAATTGACTCGTAAGCGTTCAGCTTTGAAGCCGGAGCCCAGCATGCTGTCCTGCTCCTCCTGGAAAAAGTAGCAGCATAATGAAGAGTCCAGATCAGTTCAGGAACTAAGACTACTTACCGGCAGACTAGTAACATAAACCAGAGTGGTTTCTTTCCTTTTCTTTTCTTTTTTAGTGGTGGGAATTGAACCCAGGGCTATGCATATACTAAGCACATCTCTACCACTGAGTTATCCCCTCAGCCCCGAGGGGGTTTTCTAATACAATGACAAGATCTAAACATCTTATTTACATATTATTTTACCATTGTTCAAAGAACTGACTGGATAGGAATAAGTGGATATAAAATCTGAAAAAAAAAAAGAAGAAATCTGGTGATAGATAAAACTAGTATGTAGGTATTGACCACAGGAGTAAGGTGATTAAAAAGACAAGGAGGTCAGGCATTGGTGACCCACACTTTTAGTCCCAACACTCAGGAAGCTGAGGCAGGCAGATCTCTGTGTGAGTTTGAAGCCAGCCTGGACTACATAATCAGTTCCCAGGATAGCCACAGCTACAGAGACAAACTGTCTCAAAAAACAAAAACCCTAAACAACAAAATAAAGAAGCAGGAAGTATTCCTGTTTAAAAAAACAAAACAACAACAACAAACTCTCAAAAATCTCTTTAAAAAGATCACCAAATTTAAAATGTCCTATGTTAATTTCTCAAATACTGCTTCTAAATTTCAGCCTTTGAGAAAAACTACTGTCCAGTATCACAGAAATATCATTAGCATTTACTCAGACACAAAGAGTTATATAAACAGGAACCTGTTCTATAAAATTCTACTATAGAGCACTATTTACCAAGAACTGCACCGACAGCCGTAACAGTCACCATAACCACCACAGGATGTCAGGACCACTGTATATTCTATTTCAAGACAGGACAATTTCTATTTCTCAATTTTATTTCTGGACTCAAAACTTTAAAACAAAGTACTATCCAAGTATAAGTTAGATCTGACAAAATAACTAAGTTCAAACACTGGGGCTAGTATTTATCTGTGTAAAAAGCACTTTTAGAAGATAACAGTATATACTTCCTTTTATGAAATTGCCTCAAGAAACTGTCATACTATATTGGATAACTTGTATGCCACAAAATAACTTTCATCCATTATGCTGAATTTGTTCAATACGTTCAACAAATATTTATTGATTATGTGTCAGACTCTGGCTAGAAGCTGGAAAATAGTTTAAGTAGAGCCTCTGCCTCTCACAAGAAAATTATATTCTATTGAAGAAAATATAGTTAAAATCCAGCAAGCTATAATAGTGTTTGAAAAGGACTATAATTCTAGAGTCTCTCAATTGGGAGTGACTGGAGACATCTTGCACTGTCATAACCAGAGGGGAAGCTATTGCCAACTAGTGGGTAGAGGCTTAGGATGCCACTAAACATGTTAGAATGAACAAGACAACGTCCTTACAACATCTGCCCAAATCCTCAACAGAGAAACCTATTGTAAATAAATGACCCAAATTCTTAGAACAATCGTAATGAAAGGTTCTCTAGATGGCAAAGCCTAAGCTGGATCCTAAAGAACAAACCAGATACTTGTAGAGTGTAAACCTGGTGAGTGGTACAAGTTGACATCAAGACCCTGTCTCAAACCAAAAACTTCCCACGCACAAGGAATTGTATGTGTAAAATCCCAGGTTCCAGAGAACAGAAAGGTTTCTGAGAGTTACACTCCCAATACTCTAGCAGAATATGTGTTGACAAATCCAAACAGCATCCATAATCATTGGTGACTCAAATAAATCAATGGTGTTATAGAGTTTAGAGTACAGGGGTATGACCTGGTCAGCCATCTGTTTGGAAACTGGTATAAAAGCAAAAGATAACAAAAGTGGGAGTTGTAAGATGGGGGTGAGGGGCATGTCAAGATTTCTGTTGCTCTTAAGTAGTTTTGGATTTAATTCTCAGCACCAATATAGTGATTTACAACTGTCTCCATAACTTCAGTTCCAGGGAATATGGTTCCCTTTTCTGACACCCAGTCATAGATAATTTTTTTAAAAAAACTGAATGAAACCAGACAAAAGCAATATATTTCCTATTATCTATAGTGTATCTATTCAAATGATCGAAGACAATGTGGTGTGAACCCCAGCTACTTAGGATGAGAAGGGAGGGTCATCTGAGGCCAGCACTGAAGCACACCCAAGATCCCAAAAATCAGAAAGGAGGGGACAGGCTATGAGTTTCACATAAGATCACGGAAACCAAAAGAAGAGAAAGTCCTTTTCAAAATACTGAAAAAAAAAGGAACCATCAATCCAGAAACTTTACATCTGGCAAAAATATCCCTCAGAATTAAAAGTGAAACAAGATATGACCACATGAGGGAAAAATGAAAATGTTTTGTCCTCAGCTGTAGTGATAATATTGTTTATGATCTAATAAAGCTTGCCTGAGATCAGAATGCAAAGCTGGCCACAGTCATAGAGGCCAGGCAGTGGTGGTACATACCTTTAATCCCAGCAGCCACACTAGTTAACCATAGAAGCCAGGCGGTGGTATTGCATGCCTTTAACCCCTGCACTAGAGAGGTATATAAAAAAGGAGAAAGGTCTCAGAGTAGGCAATTAGAACTCTTACCTCAGCCTTGGTAGAGGTAAGAGTTCTAGGGTGGCTTGGCTGCTTTGCTTCTCTGATCTTCAGCTTGAGCCCCAATATCTGTCTCTGGGATTTTACTGTTTGTACAACACTCAGCAGAACTGCTCTAAAAGGACTGCCAAAGAAAGGGCCAATGAGATAGCTCAGTGTGAATGTGCTTGCTGGCAAGCCTAGTGATCTAGGTTCATACCCCAGAACCCACAAAAAGGTGGAAGAAGAAAACCAACTCCACAAAATTATCCTCTGACCTGAACACGCACAGCATCACACATGTCAACCCCTCCAACACATGTAAAGATACAGAAATGACAAATTTGTATGAATAAAGTTAATAGGTTGATTTTCTCAACTCTGTTAAACCTGACAGTTTAGAACAAAACCAGTATTTTTATGGTATTTTCAATATACATAAATGTATATTAAGAAAACCATTACTTAAGGGGAGGAAGGTGAAACAACCTATATAATGGTAAGATTTCTACATTCTACCTAAGTGGATAAACACTGAAACTTAGTCTAAAAACTTAGCCATATGTATCATCTCTACAGCATTCTCATGCATCAAGCACACATGTGCACATGCATGCCCTCACGCACATATACACACACTTTAAAATAAAGATTTTTATGTTAGCTCAGCGGTGGTAGGGCACGCCTCTAATCCCAGCACTCGGAAGGCAGAGGCAGGTGGATCTCTGTGAGTTCAAGGCCAGCCTGATCTACAGAGTGAGTGCCAGGACAGCCATGACTGTTCTGCAGAGAAACCCTGTCTCAAAAACAAACAAAAAGATTTTTATTTTTATTCATGTGTATGCATGTATATGTGTATGTTGTGTATGTCACATGTGAGTGGGTGTCCTCTGAGGCCAGATGGCTCATTGGTTAACAGCATACACTGGCTGCTCTTCTAGACAATCCTGGGTTGGATTCCATGCACCTACATGGTAGCTCACAACTGTGAGGGGAATCTGCCTTCTTTTTGGCCTATGAGGGGCACCACACATGCACATGCTACACAGACATACATGCAGGCAAAACATTCATACATACACACAAAAAGAATAGTGGTACATACCTAGATTCCCAGCATTGAGAGACAATAAGTTCTCTCCAAATGAGCTACACTAGTTACAACAGAAAATATAGTAATATGCCCTCAAAGTCAGCCAGGCATTGGTAGCGCACACCTTTAATCCCAGCACTCGGGAGATAGAAGCAGGCAGATCTCTGTAAGTCCAAGGCAAGCCTGGTCTACAGAGCGAGTGCCAGGATAGGCTCCAAAGCTACACAGAGAAACCCTGTCTCAAAAAAAATAAAATAAAAACCCAACAACAACAAAAAACAAACAAGCTGCCCTCAAACTCACTACAATCCTCTGCCTCACCCTTCCAAATGCTAGGCTTACAGGTGTGCATAATACCCACCTTCAACTATTTTTATTTATTCGTGTGGTAGCATGTATTTGGAGGCGAGAAGGAAACTTAGGGGGTCTCCTTCAACCTTATTTCCAAGACAGGGTCTTTCACTAATTGGATACATTGGCTGGCCAGTGGGCCCCCAAACCCTCTAGTTCCTACAGCCCCAGGACTGAGATCAGGCACATGCTGACACCGTCACCAGTAAACACTTCATCATCTGGACCTTCCCAGGCCTTCAGTTATTTCTTTGGTGCCAGTGTCACACACACACAACCAAATAGTATAGCATAGCATCTTGCAAAAAGCTACTACTTGTTATGCTGATTAACTATTAGGAAACTTAACTAATATAATTTCCCTAGTTTAACAATTCATATTTTTTGTCATGCTGGGATGAGGATACTCAGGGTCATATATGCTAAGTAAGTGTTCTACCATTAAGCTACATCCCAGCCAAACAAGAGACATTTCAATAAAAGCTGACACCAGCTTTCAAGGAGTTCACAATCTAATCATCACTAAACAATGAACAACTGAAACATGAAGCTTAATGAATGAATGAACTAGCAACCACAATTCCAACTTTCAGTTTTCTATCCTGCTTATACATAAAGACCCTACTGTGATTCTGTACTGCTATTTGTATTTTTATTAGTGTCACATATGGATCATCAGCCTCACTTAGCATGTTAAGCAGCTGTCAATTCCTCATTTTACTCAAATCCTTAACATAATCAAAACTTAGTTTCTCACCACTCAGCTCCTTGGAGCCTTCTGTATCTATATAAATCTTCATTCTTATTAAGAGTAGTGTAAAGGGGGGGATTTAAGGTTAGTTAGGGGAGGAAAATAGAGACTGCTATGTCAAAAACTGCTCCCAAAATACTGAAGTGACAGTGATCTTGAAACCTCCATTACAACACACACAAAACACCCCAGTCAACCAGCTTTAGAGTCCATAGCTGCAAAGAGCTAAGAGAAAAATGAGACAGTGATCTTGAAACCTCCATTACAACACACACAAAACACCCCAGTCAACCAGCTTTAGAGTCCATAGCTGCAAAGAGCTAAGAGAAAAATGAGACAGTGATCTTGAAACCTCTATTACAACACACACATACACACACAAAAAACAAACAAACAAACAAAAAAAGTCAACCAGCTTTAGAGTCCACAGCTGCAAAGAGCCAAGAGAAAAAGGAGATGCAACAGTGGCAGAACACACACTGGGAAGCTAGGATGTGCTTTTCAAAGCAACACAATCCAACTCCTTTCAAAGTATTCTTTGTACAGTTTGCCAGCAAGTTTACTGTACTTTAATACTACATATTATAATCAAATATTTGAGGACCAAACCAATCAACTGAAATTTCAGAGCCAAATGGTGGTGGTGCTCCCTTTTAATCCCAACACTTGGGAGGCAGAGGCAGTAGGATCTATCTCTGAGTTCAAGGCCAGCCTGGTCTAGAGAGTGAGTTCCAGGACTGACAAGACTACACAGAGAAACCTTGTTTTGAAAACAAAATACAAAAACAAAAAGACTGAAATTTCAATAAAGGAATCATATAACCAGCAACAATGTGTGAATTCACAACAAAGACTAGGCTTCAGAGTCCAAGCACCTTGGGTTTCCAGAAGGAGTCATCAATACTGGAATGAACAGGCATTATAAAGTATCTTTAACTTTTTATTAAAATATAAACACATAGAAGAAAATTCTCAGTGCCTACATGTTTGGTTGGCTTTACTGGGTTGCTTTGCTTTTTCTAAAACAAGAGTTCATTTTAACCTGGGCTGGCCTCAAACTCATGGCAATCCTGCCTCAGCATCTAAGCTCTGGGACAACAAGCCTGCTACAACCACCCAAAGTTCTTAAGACATTTTAAGTTATAGGTGGGGACTATGCACTATTACCCTTTTACCATTTACAATCCTACCACATTACAAAAACTTTATTTGTATGACTGTGTAACAATTTTCTTTTTTGTTTTGTTTTTGGAGTCAGAGTTTCTCTGTGAAACAGTTCTGGCTGTCCTGGAACTAGCTCCATAGACCAGGCTGGCCTCAAACAGAGAGATCTGCCTCCTCTTCCTACCAAGTGTTGGGATTAAAGGCTCGAAACACCTCCGCTGGACTCCTCTTTTTTTAAAGTGGGACATTTCATGAGGTCGGGATGGGGTTGGGGGTGGGGGGAGGGCAGGGTGGAGAAAGGAAAGACAGAGAAGAGTTATTATGAAACAATTTTCATACTAATTGCCTGAACTTTTGACTTTTGTAGCATAGCAAGGATGCGGAAATGCGTGTTACTTTTCCTACATTTGAAACGAGTTAGACAGACTACACTTTGTTTTGCAGTTTTACTTTAAACCACAACAGGCTACATGTAATTGGGACTTCATCCTGAACAGAGCTTAAGTTAAGTGAACTGGAGATTCTATAGGTGCAAGTCTTGTAGAAACCAGAGGCACAGAAACAAAAGAGAAGAACTACAAAAAGTCACGGGGGGGGGGGGGGGGGGGGGGGGGTGGAGGGGAGGTTTACTTTTATCAAGTGAGAATGCTAAGAAGCTGCGTGACTTAAAAACAAGGATGCTGTGAAGTTCCCCCAGGAAGGTTTGTAGATCAAAAGAGTTTGAGGGGCATGAGTCGTTAATAAATGTTATCAACTAAGGTTTTATTAAGCTGGGAAAATATGTGCATGAGGAAAAATATGACAGAAACGGCATAGTTGATTGTTTTTCAGGATTGACAGAGTTGTTTTCGTAATAAATAAAACAACTAAACACCACGAAAACTTAACAACACAAAGAAAAAAATTACAATCTCCGTTGAGAGCCGTTCAACATGAGACTAAGCAGAGACCGAAAGCAGCCAGTCTCCCTCTGCGGTCAGCTTACAGTCCTAGTCCCGAGCGAGGTCCGCATCCTAGTTCAAGTGCAAGGTACTGAGTGCCACGCCTGACCCCAGCACCGGGAATAGGAGCGCGGGGAACACCGGCTATCCATGTCTGAGTCACCCCGCAGCGACCGCGGCGGGAGACAAGGCCTGCCCGAGAGTCTCGACCGACGACACGGCAGAGGGGTGTCTCCTAGGAGCCCAGGCCATGCCCGCGGGAAGCGGCGCCGGGGAAAGCGATGCCAGCACCGGTGTCAGCGGCCCCACCTCCTCCCGCGACCCGAGCCCTACCTCAGGCCTGACCCCGACTGTCAGGGGTTTCTTTCTTCCCCGCTGACACGGCGCGGAGGGCAAGACCCCCCAGTCTTAACGACGGCTGGGGTCCGGAAAAGGCGGGGCGTAGGACGAAGAGGTAGACCAAGCTGCCATGGCTACGGAGGGCACGCTCACCTGGAGGAATCCAGACGAGAAAACGGAAGACAGAGTTCCGATTAGCCGCTCGGCATCGAAAATGGCGACTTCCTCGACCTCAGCACAGCGAACTCGAGCGGAGGAATCCACCGGGCGTGTTAGCCACGCCCTCCTTCGCAGGGATTGGCTGCGCGCACAGCACCGGGAAGTGTCTCTGGGAGAGCCCAGCGGTTCCCTCCCTCTCGGAGCCCTAACGTCCTGGGGACTATTTCCCACTGCGGAGGCGCGGGACTTGACTTGTGACACATCTTGCGAGGAATTGAGTCACTTTGCTAGGGGTGTGCCTTGCCATTTGCACGGGGCGCGGTGAGGTTAATGGAGGCCGTTCCTGGAGTTCGTGCCCAATACCCTTGTCCCAGATTGTTCTAGCCCCTGGGACTAGAACCGGCTGCAGGCTGCCTAGCAAACATCCCGGGTTTCGTGCCAGCCCCACTCGCCGGTCGGTCGGTCCTGGGACGAGGGCCTTTGAGGAAAGGCTAGGCGGGATTCAGCGCTGCTGACCCGACTCTGTCCCACGGCCTCTGAGCTACCGACGCTGGCCCTCCCTTCCACTCCCACGCCGAGTCTGATTACTGCCTTACCACGCTATCCGGCCTGCACCTTCACTAAGACTCCCTGCGATCCACCTCTGCTGCCACTTGCTCTTATTTCTGTCAGTATTCAGCGGAAATTTAGGGGCTTAGAGTGAAAGAGCCTTCCAGTACTCTTGCTCTTGGCCCTGCTATAGAGGCCACACAGCTACAAAGACCAAAATTGTGGCTTGTCTTGAGTCAGTCGTAAAACAGGGACTGCGGGTTACCGTGCGTATGGATTTGAAAGTAATTGGCTTTTAAACATGCGTTTTATTTCACAGCTCTGGGGTTCCAGAACCCCCAGAATACACAATATTTGGTTCCCTTAAAATGTTTGGATTTTTCCCACAATAAATATTTGCAATATTGCAATATAAATTGTACTGCAACAAGATTATGGTATTTGTTGCTAAAAAATTCTTCTCTGACAAAGACGACCTCCTCCCTAAGTCTCATCAAAGTACAGTGTTATGTAAGTTCTCCCTGACGAACAAATTAGTTTATTGGGCTTATTTACAGAACATAGGTAACAAGTCACCCTACACTCCTGTGAGTGGTCACTCTCCCCCAAATAAGGCTGCCCTGGAAAGTCTTTACCCAGCAGAAATGAGATGGAGCCCACTCCCTAGTGGTCCCCAGCCCCTCTAGACCCTCCCCAGGCCACATGCATGCATTTAGGGCAGATTAGGTGATATAGAGTGCCTGTATACCCAAGTGAGGGTTCCAAGACCCTCCTGCCCCCCTTTCTATGCAAGATCTTTGCCTGTCAGGACAGCTAAATTCCTCAAGGTGACTGTTGTTTGGCTTTAAGGATAGTACAGTATCACAGCATTAAAGAAAAAAAAAATAACATTTTTTAAAAGGGGCTAATTGCTCAGATTTAAGGTGCCTAGAAACACCAAACCAAAGGTGCAAATGAAGAGGCCTAACTTAACATCAGTGCAACCATGACAGGCTGAAGATTAACAATACCGGGAATAGGCCTTATCTTTACAATAACCAGGAAAGGCCACAAACTGTACCCTGCCAAGGACCAGTAAGAAATGAGACAGGTGGGCATGGTGCCGCAGGCCTTTAATCCCTGCACCCGGGAGGCAGACGCAGGTGGATCTCTGAGTTCAAAGCCAGCCTGATCTACACAGTGAGTTCCAGGACAGGTTCCAAAGCAATACAGAGAAACCATGTCTCAGGGAAGAAAAAAAAAAAAAAAGACAAGTACTAGATTCTCCAGAACGTTAAGAATAGCTTACCTAGGGCTGGAGAGATGGCTCAGAGGTTAAGAGCACCAACTGCTCTTCCAGAGGTCCTGAGTTCAATTCCCAGCAACCACATGGTGGCTCACAACCATCCGTTATGAGATCTGGTGCCCTCTTCTGGTGTGCAGATATACATGGAAGCAGAATGTTGTATACATAATAAATAAATAAAATCTTAAAAAAAAAAAGAATAGCTTACCTAACTTGTATATAGGTTGTCATTTCCTTACAGCAACACCAGTACCAAACCCTGTTTGACAAGATTTCTATTGCCCTACTCCTGACCAATCAGGAGTTCAACCCCCTTCTGAATCTGGAATTCCCCTATCCCCACATCCTTTACTCCTTAAAAACCCTGCCTAAACTGAGCTCAAGATTCTCCTTGATCCAACCACTGTGTCAGGGTGGACAGAGAGTCCAAGCTCGAACTTGCAATAAAGACTCTTTGCTTTTGCATATGAACTCAGATTCCTAGTGGTCTCTGGGGACTCGTGACACTGCATCACATTTGGGGGCTTGTCCGGGATCCACCAGACACACGAGGACCCCTGACCCATGGAGCCTTCAACCAAGTGGTAAGTATCTGTGTCTATCTGTTTGTCTCACTTGGTTTCACTTTGTCTCTGTCTTGCATTGTACTTTGTACTCTGACAAGGCCATTTCTGACTTGCCTGCAAAAGGTCTATAATGGGGGATGCCCTGTGTGCTGTGAATATATGTTCCTCTTATTGGTTGATGAAGAAAGCTGTTTCAGCCAATGGACAGGCAGGATTTAGCCAGGCAGAAATCCTAACAGTGATAGAGAAAGGTAATAGGTGGGGTCAGAGAGTCAGAGAGACACCATGTAACTACTGGGAAAGTAGGATGCCTGGGCATTCTCCAGTAAGCTAAGACCACATGAAGATACATAGATTAATAGAAATGGGTTAATAATTAAGAGAGAGCTAGCCAATATGAAGCCTGACCCATTGGCCAAACAGTTTATAATTAATATAAACCTCTGTGTGTTTATTTAGGACTAAATGGCTGCAGGACTAGGCAGGAGAGAAACTTCCATCCACAGATTATGGACTAGGTAATAACAAATATTACATTGTTATTTTGTACGGAAACATTTTTAATGCAAGAAATGCTATGTGTATAAGGGTAAACTAGCAGCCAAAAATATTGGTAATTGTTTTATGGGATGGCAATGAGTACTTTAGTGTTGTCACTTCCTTTAGCATGTTTTAAGATGTTCAGAGTCAGGGCTGGAGAAATGTCTCAGTGGTTAAGAGTGCACATACTGCTCTTCTATAAGTCCAAAATTTGGTTCCCAGCACCCGTGACAGGTGGCTTACAACCACCTAATTCCAATTCCAGGTATCTGATGCCCTTCTTTTGGCCTCCTTGGGCACCTGCATTCACATGCAGAGACACAGTCACAAAATTTTAAAAATAATTTGTAAAAGATGTTCAGAGTCATGGGACTGGAGATATGCCTCAGTGATTAAGAACATTGGCAGAGGTCCTGAGTTCAATTCCCAGCAACCACATGGTGGCTCACAGCCATTAATAATGGGATCTGATGTCCTCTCTGGCATGTATATGTGGATAGAGCACCATATACATAAAATAAATCTTTAAAAAATGTTCAGAGTCGGCCGGGCGTTGGTGGCGCACGCCTTTAATCCCAGCACTCGGGAGGCAGAGGCAGAGGCAGGCAGATCTCTGTGAGTTTGAGAACAGCCTGGTCTCCAGAGTGAGTGCCAGGATAGGCTCCAAAGCTACACAGAGAAACCCTGTCTTGAAAAACCAAAAGAAAGAAAAAGAAAGAAAGAAAGAAAGAAAGAAAGAAAGATCAGTTCACACAATTGACATCAAAGCATGAAAATTTCTATCTCCCCATGCCCCCGGCGCTACAGTATATAATAGAATGACTTCTTTTAGGATCATTGACATAGTAACCTTGATCAAATCCTAGAAGTTAGTAGATAATTTACTCAAACCTGTAATCCCAACACTCAATAGCTGAGGCAAGAAGATTGCCACGAGTTCTATGTTAGCATGTGCTACAGTGGAAAACCCAGTCTCAAAAATATTTGCAAGCTGGGACATGAGCATCAGCAGTTCAAGGTCATCCTCCCTACACAGCAAATTTGAAGCCAGTCAGCTATTAAACATGTCATGAAGTTCCATCCTATTTTCAGGACTTATTTAGAAAAGTTACTTCCTATTTGGGTGTCATTTAGATTCGGTAATCACCTTTAGCTTGGGCTTTAACAAAACCCATCAGTCTAATACTGAAGACATGATAGTATCTCAGTTATGAATTGTACTATAAGCAACCAAGTTATTCAGACACTATTTGAGGTTGGAGGTGAGGTGCAGTAGCTCTGTCCCTGGCTCAACCGGCCAGTTTCCCTTAGGAGCCAAAAATGATCAAAAAGTAAAGTGACATACCCTTTCACTTGAAAATCTGGTTTTGTTGTAGGACAGAAATTAACATATAAGATTTCATGGGTTAGCTATGTATTATTTTTTTGTGTAAATCTTTATAATTAGTGGCTGTAACTAAAATCTAACACAGTATAATGTCAATAAAAATTTGTTTCTCACTGGGTGGTGATGGCACATGCCTTTAATCCCAGCACTTGGGTGGCAGACGCAAGTAGATCTCTGTGAGTTCGAGACCAGTCTGGTCTACAAGAGCGAGTTCCAGGACAGCCTCCAAAGCCACAGAGAAACCCTGTCTCAAAAAACCAAAAAGAAAAAAAGAAAATTGTTTCTCACCAACAGGCCAGCTAATAGATAAACATACAAACAAATGAACTTATCAGACCTGCTTTTGAAGAATCCTTCCAGCTATGAATAGCTTTTTACATTGTTAAGAGGTTGGGAAAGGGTAGTAGCTGGGATATGAAGCAGTGACCTTACTTTCCCACAAACCTTAATATATTTACTATTGGGTCTTTTACAGAAAACGTTTGCTAACTTGTACAATAAAAGTATTGCACATTATATAAGAGAAAGATGATGGCACAGTTAACTGCACTGGTTTTGTTGTTTCTGTTTGTTTGGTTGTTTTGTTGTTAAGATTTTATTTATTAAGTATACAGTCTTCTGCTTGCATGTGCCCTGCAGGCCAGAAGAGGGCATCAGATATCATTCAAGGTGGCTGTGAGCCACCATGTGGTTGCTGGAAATTGAACTCAGGACCTCTGAAAGAGCAGTCAGTGCTCTTAACCTCTGAGCCATCTCTCCAGCCCCCTTTTTGTTGCAATTTTAAGACAGTCTCATGTAACCTAGGCTGG